AACCTTCGAAATAGTCCCCACCGAAATCCTTGAACTGCGACTGCGGCGACGGACCAAAACCTTCTCTCGGCGGGTCTCTCCTCACACTGTTGCGTGTATGCCCGGGAGGAACTCTACCCGTCCTATCGGCCAAGTCGAAGTCGACCAAAAGATCATCCGCAGCGCCATCGCTGCCGTCCTCCTCTCGCAAAGGCGGCTCCTTTTTCCTTTGCTGGGCACCGCGCAACGATGGTCCATCGTAAGGTCGATCTGGAAAGGCTTCCCGGTGCGCCCTTTGCGGCCCGTTGACGCCGTCGTCGTCTCCGAAGTTAAGGCCGCGAAGGAAGATGTCTTCGGAGCGGTCGTCCCTGCGCCTCTCGCCTCTCATTGGTCTTCTAGGGTTGTTTCTCGTGCTGAAATCGTTCGATGGCACACATCTCTCCAAGATATAAGCTTTATGTTGGTAGCAGATCCGCCTCCACGGATTGGAAAGGAGAAGCTTGGAGAGCGCAGTTCGCATCGGTCTTCAGCTCGAGATGGAGATGCAGACGATTTCCGGTACTTTCCCAAGGTTTAGGGTTTTATTGGAGATAAAAGAAACAAAAGCAATGTCACTTTCTACCCGCCTCCAACGTACCCATCGGATACCCGTGTGGTAGTAGGAAAGCTAGAGCGGGGTCCACTCACCCTCGTGAGATGACCAGCCATATTTAATGACGAAAATGCCCAGTGGAGATGACACAATAGAGAAGGGTGCCTTGGTCACCAGCAAGATTTATGTCGTCACGAATAGTGTGGCCACCAATTTGATAGAATTAATATCTAAGAAAATTCAAATCACATTTTTCATGAAACAAAATTATACTTGTCGCATCCAAATCACATTTCTTGAATGATGAATCATTTTATTCTCCAGAATTTGATGAATTATAATCTTCAAATTTTGTTCATAGTATAAAATGAACTGTCTTTTACACATGCACAGCTAACCTTTTCTTCTCCCTCCTTGCCTTGCTTAACATAAATTCCTCACCATGAGCGTGTGAAGATTAGAAGATTCTTTATACATACCTTTAATCCATTGATGAAGTAGGCACTGTAAGGCCATTCAGAACAAGGAGTTGGCACCTTTTGTTTGGCACTTGGCTAGAAAGAGATGCAGCAAAGAAGATGGAGATGAGAGTCATGCATCAATTGCCAAGATTAAGGCCTGGAGAGACTCACCATGTACTGTGCGCTGATGTTGCTTGAACAAGAAAGTATATCCATCTGTTGATCCAACTATCCATCTCTTACCAACTCCAAGTTCCTGATGCCAGTAACAATGCTCCAAAGTTATTTCAGACAACTCATGAACATTTATCTTGTACTTCCCGTAGACATATACACCACCAATGTAAGCCAGAACCACAATATATAAGCACCAGTGATATTTGAGGAATTTCTCTGGGTATAACCAATGGTTTAGCTCCACAATCTTTCTCTTCTTTGTCCCCTGTCAAAGTTCGGGGGATCCACTCTTCCACTGAACAATTTTCTACTGCAAGATCGATCCACAATCCGATAGTTCATGCTGCCGAATCAACACAAAGTTCTTCCTTGAGAAAATACACCCCCAAGACGTTGCCGGTTACCACCTCTCCCAACAGAGCTGGCATCTCAAGTAAAAAGAGGTAGATAACATGATAAGTATCTTCATATCTAGGCTAGGCACTTCATTTGCACCATTACTATTCCTTTAAAGCTATCTCGGGCCGAAGTCCACATTCTCCCACTTGAATGGCTCAACAGAACCAGTATGCGGTGAACCTTGACAAATATGCAGACGCAAACACCAGTCTGTTACAGGAAAGATTGTTCCTCGACACAGCATACATATAAGGGGACTGATCATTCTCATCCACTAATGAATTCCAGCACTTCAATCCAATCTAACAAATAAGAGACAAATAAACTAGTGATGTTACCTTGTAAAGGTTAAGAATATAATTTGTGCAGCAACATCTATGACAGTTTGAAAACCACATCATTTTGAGGATCGAGTATGGAGATGCAGTTATTTAGTTTATACACTACGTACTACATATTATTGGGCTAGGAATATAAGAGGAGCAGGATTTATCTGGCTACAGAATAGAAGTTATAGAACTAGAGAACTAGATTTACCTCTTGTGGATCATTAGTGAGTGCATCAACAATGTCCTCTGAATCCTGCATAGATGCTGCCAAATGCCATGGGGCCACCCCTGCTGGAGCTGCCACATTTGGAGGAAAAAGATTCATCTTTGTCACATTTTTTCCATGATACACAATAATGGAGAAGAAGATCTACCAGCTTCCTGCACCTTCTCTTAACCGCTCTGTTCAGGAGGTGAATATCCGAAAGCATTTCAAATGACTTTTGTACGAAGGCATCATTCCTTAAGCTTCTCTCCACCAGAATATCCAAAAGGGTTTTGATAAGACTGCTCCAATCTCGTTCAACCGAAAATGTAAGCAGGTACTTAAACTGTGCACTAGAGAAATCAGGCAAAGACAGGAGGCTGCATGGCCTATGTGTCCTCTGAAACAGCCAACCAAGTTCATTTTAGAAAGCGTCAAACAACCTCCCTCGACCTAGGCCCTGCACTATTAACATGTTCCTCGGCAATGACATTTGTTGTCTGAACATCTTCCTCAAATTCTGATTCAAGGGCTCTCAATTCCTGACAGATGCTAGTATCGGCAATAATAATTGGAAAACTGTTCCCTTTGAAACCATTTTCCACCTGAGCATGGAATTCGAAAGTTAGTTGAGAGCAGGCCCATCCTACCACACCTATCTGGAAAACAATGAAGTCATGCTTTTGAATGATTTGCTGCCACGTCAACTGGAATGAAATGAAGGTGACCACCTCAATGAAACAGCGACCAGAGGCCTTCGGAGATCCTCCTGGAAAGGAAAACCTCTCCACACAGGAATCATCACATATGGTGCCCGGATATGTTGAGAAAAGAACTTCCTTTAACATATATTTACCAATATAAATGCAATGGGTCTTGCAAGAATTAAATTAAAATTTATGAGTAACATAAGTTGGTAGTATAAGAATTTCTTTGGATAAACAAGGCACTGCAATGCTCAACTCACTTGGTGCCAGGAACAATCAAATTGCGATCCTTTTAGGACAAGGGAAGTTTCCAGCTCACCAACAACAGCAATAGGTGATACAGTCAACTCTGGAAAACTCCATGCCCTCCAAGTCTTGACAAACGGATCTTCCCTGTAATGGCTAGCTATTATATAATCCATGATAATTGCGATATAAATATTTCAAAGCTTCAAAAAAGATAATTGGGACGAGCATCCAAATATCTAAAACTAAAAAGTGGAAAAAGATCAGTATGTAAAGGTGATATGGAAAAGCAAACCATCCTTTATGTGATACCAGCTGCCTATTTGTATGAACTAAAAACCTCCCATTTAGCCAAAACTCAGCTTCGGAGGATTGAACTAGTGAGGTGGCATGCTGAAGAAGATCATTTTCATGCCGCAAACCAACATATATTTTCAGAATACTATAATCCAAACTAAAGCATAGAAACAATTGAAAATGTGAAAAAATTAGTCACTGACTGCCTTCCATGCAATTGACTGCATTCTTAAATAAATTGATAACACGACCAGGTCGAATGTAACTCTCCATCTCCGAAGGGCTGTTTGAAAGCCAATTTAATATCTGAATAACAGGAAATATGAGCACCTAGCTGATTATTCAATGAAGCAAATACAAGGGAGCATATATATAACAGAATTTCTACAATACCTGTGAACGGAGATTATCAGGGAAGCTGCTCGGATCCTTGCCAAAAAGCTTGAAAATTATCCGCACAGTCCGATCCTGTTTCGTCATGTTGATGTAATAGCAAATAAAACACACAAAATGTTAAGACAGAGGTGCACGACCATATCGTACATTACCTGAGAACTCAAACTGGAAGTGGAGTGATCTGAGGCTGAAGATTTGTAACCAGCTTGATATGGTAAACTTTGAACTACCCTGCTTTCAGCTTGTGTTTCTGACCCCTTAAAGAGCTCAATCGGTGCACTCCCACCATGACTAGTGCTTAATTCAACAGTAGCATTTTCTTCCCTGCTCGTGCATATTTCACACTCTCCAACATTGAATGTAGAGGGAATAGCTTCTTTGTAACTGGGGGAGAAGATGAACGAGACCTCTCTTCCACATGGTTGCTAATTTCAGAGAAGAGATATTTCATTGCAGAACCTAGCTCTGGAGGACTGCCATCATCAGCAGGACCAAAAAACTGCAAAGGTAAACTTGGGCATACTTGCTGAACTGTCTTCTGAGGTACATCTGCCGGAGATTGTCAGATGTAGTTGTCTCTCGATATTCCAACTGAAGGATAGATATGAGATGATTTATTATGTAAATAAACATTAACTTGGGGGCTCAACGCTTTGGACCTTGGTTCTATCGTTGCCACTACTTTCAGTGCCTCCTTGTGAAAGAGATGCAGGGGCATCAGGAGCAGATGCAGCTAGCACTGCCAAGAGAACTGTCAGCAGGTTTGTTGTGGCAGATGTTGCATTTTCGTTTCCAGTTGCCTTTGTTGACTGTTCAAGTGAACCTAGTGGTGGAAGTTGTGATACATCCAAATCAAAACCTCCAGGTACAGATGATCTTGAGGAAGTGTTTACCTCAGTCGAAGCACTTAAACTGCTAATAAATTGGACAAGATGATCTCTATCAGTCAAAGGAGGGATACTGGTCTGTTTGTCTTTAGTGCCACCTGCAGTTGCAGTGCTAAAAGATGAAGCAAAAGATCACACTATATGTCACAGATTGATTATCCAGTAAGCAACATGCATTACCTTGCAAGCGTGCTAACATAGGTAACAAATTGACAATATCCAAATTCCGACTCCTTTTTTCTTGGTTTCTAGGAAACAATAGTTCAGAAGAGGCATCCTCTAGTTGTGTCTTCCTTCTGCATCGATTATGTCCAGCAAGACGCCTCTACAGCTTCTCTTCCCCTGTCAAACTTAGAAAGGGGATGAAATCTGAATTAAATGATATTGCAGGTCGAAAGACTACATGATTGTTATCAGATCTGAGATAGTAGAACAACTTAGAAGACATCCAGATTTCTTTGTAGGGAAACCAATTGATGCAAACTCCAAAGATCTTAACAAAAGCCATCTACCTCAGAGAGACTAATTTACACCTACTCGTGCCAGTCTTAGTTACAATGACTAAATACCGAGCCTTGATTGTGATCAGCCTATTTTGCATTCGACAAAATTAATTGAATTAAAACATCATATAAAAAAAGATCAAGCATTTCCATCATGAATAGGCAAGGGTTCCAATTGTAAGCTGAAAGGACAGAGGCTTGAGATCCATATTACCTGCTGCACTGCTGGCAAAACTTCTGCATCCGCTTTCCCACAAGTGCCTTGGCGGTCTTACTGTGCACCTTGCGCACCATATTTCGCCTGTGATAATCCTTGGCGCTCGACATATCCGCCCGGCAATCATCCACCTGACACATTGGGTAGCTGCTGCCACTCCTTGGAAGCCAGACCTGACCCTCTTATAAGGCCAAGCCGTCGGCTCCTCAACCACCGAGTACGCACCGCCTCCTAGCTTCAAAGCTCGGTTCTTATTATCCACTTCCAAATTCCTGCGCAAGACCGAACCTTTCGTGTCCTCATCCCCTTTCTTCATCTGATCCACCATGGGAGTGGCTGCAGAAGACGGTTGGAACCCCAGAAAGAGGACCTCCGATGCATCAGACGAGGGCTTTGCCATTAACCGCACGCTAACCTAATCCCACATCTTGGGGTTCCAAGTATCCCTGGTATTCGGAAAGGAAGCGCCCATCAGCCGCTGCTGGCTCTGTAGCTGCTGGTTGAGGTCGGGAAGTCTCGCTTCTTAGCGAGCAGCGGGGCCTGGTGGAAGAGTCCGGGGAGGGCCCGTTGATGGTGAAAGAAGGTGGGAGTGACGACCTGCGCACCGACCTCTCCCTCCATCTCTCCAGTCTAAATCGGACCCTCGATTCCGAGACCGCCAAAAGCAGAACGACGTTCTCCTCCTCTGATCCATCTCTCCACCAAATTCCAATCCGAAGAACACCCAGGAATTCAAGAATCCATCAACAGATCATCATGGTGATAGCTTTCTACATGAAGTCAGTCAAACCATACCCAGCCAATCTCAGAACAAAAAAAGAAAAAAGAACATCTGCTCATCTTCTCCATAATCTCCAAATCTCAATCTTGGACAACGAGCGGCAAAACAACATAGATCGAGACAAAAACCACAAGAGAGACTCGAAACCGCAACGTCTGACCACGAAACAAACCAGATGCGAAAATGAATTCAAGAAAGAACAGATCTGGTGGAAGAACAGTTCGACAGGAGAAGACGCCGAGAAGAGACGTTTGCTCTCTCTTGAGATCTATTTTAATAGATCGACTGATAAAGAAATTAAAAGAGACAAAACCTTAAGAGGATAAATATGAAGATTATTTGCTTGCAGATTATAATCGTAATAATCTCTTTCTTTTTGTCACCCCACGGTGGCGATTCGCCGTACGTGGCATACTCCTCGTCACGTTATGCCCGGTGAATACAAACACCACCCTTGACGTGCCGTAGTCGCTTTCGTACCTTGACTGCCAGCGGACAAGACCTTGAAGCGATGTGGGGTCCTTCGCCTTGTGGCTCACCACGTCCGATTTCTCACGGACGAATCGTGTCGGTTCAATTCCGGTACGGGATGACGTAGTTGAAATGACTCAAAAGGCCATCGTTATTTTCCATAACTACGGTCGCGCCATATCAAGTGCATGGGGTCGGACGGGGGCACGATAACCGCGGGGGAAAGCGTACCCGTTTATTTGGTCGTTGACGGACGTGATCGCCTCATCAGACTCGTACACGAACATTATTGCACGTCTTCTTAATGTCCTATTCATGATGACGACCGTTAGTGGTCTTTGGGATATATATATATATATATATATATATATATATATATATATATATATGAAAAAATAAAAATTCTTAAATAAAATTTAGAATCAAAATTACACTTGTTTGATTGATTTATATTGAATTAGAATTTTTGTTGGTCAGATTTGAGATGAGTTTATAAATATGTCATATATTATTTATTTATGATAATTGAATCATCAACATGCCCACTTAAAACTTTATTTAAAATTAATATTTTAAAAAATATTGTACTATAAATATGCCATATGGTGTTTGTATATGTTAATTAAATCATCAACGTACATACCTTAAAATTTTATTTAATATTAATATTTTAAAAATATTATACTTAGTTAAAACGATCATATAGTCGATTTTAAATAGTTAAGATTTTTATTATAATATTATTTAAGCGGATAAAATATATTTTAAATATTTGATATTTAATATAATAATAGTTAATATTTTAAAAATATTTATGAGGTGCTTATATGCTATTCCAAAATTTGAAGGGGACAAATGTGCTATTTCTAAACATTTGAAGGATAAGGTTGTAAAAGCGCTTTGAGATTTATCCTTGTAATAGTTGGCAATAATATAAATAATATTCTTCCTCGAAAGCGATCGATTCGTTTCGAGGCTGGAGCCTGATCCCATCCTTCCTCTCTGATTCTTCGATCTCTTTCTTGGATTCCCTCAAATCTCTGAGAAAGATCTCTTCTTGGTCGTCCCTGTTGCCCGGTCTCCGCTGCAAACCCTTAAAGCTAGGGTTTTTCCATGCCCTAGCTAGGGTTTCGGCGGTTGATCCGGTTCCTCCTTCCAAGTTGCCTCTTTCTGGCTGGAATTCTGGTTCTTGAGGGTGATCGTCCGATGGCCTTTCACCACGCGGGGCCTGGTTCGGCATCCGGATCAGCGTCGAGCTCCAGCTCCGGGTTCCACTTCCCGAATTCCCTTTTCGGGGACACCACGTACACGAAAGTCTTCGTTGGGGGCCTTGCGTGGGAGACCAAGAGCGAGACGTTGCGCCGCCACTTCGAGCAGTTCGGTGAGACCCTTGAGGCCGTCGTGATCACCGACAAGAACACCGGCAGGTCGAAGGGTTATGGTTTCGTGAGTATCGCTTGTCCTATCATCTTGTGGAGGAAACTCACTTTTCTTTGCAAATAGAGGTTTTGAGGGAAGATTTGATTTTTCTGTGTTATTTTGTATGAATCGTTTGGTGTTGATTTCTGTGGAGGGGTTAGGTGACTTTTCGAGACCCTGAATCTGCAAGAAGAGCATGTGCAGACCCTAGCCCAGTTATCGATGGCAGACGTGCGAACTGTAACTTGGCTTCACTTGGGCGATCTCGCCCTTTTCTTCCATTTGGCGGTACGCCCCTAGAATCTCCGCTTCTGTTAGCGTTGCCAAAAGTTGCATTACAATCTTAGTATCAGAAAACAATGTTGCATCTCCAACCTGTTGAATGGCTTTTTGTTGTCAATCCCATTTGATTGTTTCTCATCGGTACTTGTGCAGGCTTCACTTTGAGGCAGTAGTAATACTTTTAAACATCTTTTATCATGTTATAAGTAGTGTACTTGATTATCTTGTATCTGGTTGTTTTACCCAAGAATCTCATGAATTTGGAGATGACATATATATTTAGTATCATATTGAGTTGGTTAATGCACATATTTGTGCTATTTAAGTAATCATAAAGCATTGGCTATGGACTCCAAATGTTTTAGATTAAGTCAAAGGCATTCAATATGATTTTTGGGTGCCAAAATTTTGTTTTTTGTTTTTCAAATTACATTCAAGAATTCTGTCTGTCCATGTTCGCTCCTTTGTTTTTTGTTTTTTTGACCTTTATGTTTTTCACTTCAAGGGTTCATGGAGTCATAAACTTTAAATACCTATTACTTTATGTTCTGGAAAATGCTGAATCATGTTTCTGAGCATGAGGAAGCATATTTAAATGGATTAATGTAACAATGATTAAGGATCAAATGGATAAATTCCACTACATATTAATAATTATAGGCAAATCAAGGGTTGCCATGCCAATCTGTACGTCTTGGCATGGTCCAAAAGTTGTGCTTGAAAAGAATTGGTATACATCATGTTGATCCGTGCTTGAGATGCCAACATGTGGCTAGTCCAATTTTTGGCTTGGGTTAGACAATGCAGAAGGTGTACTAACCGACACAGCGTGGAACACATCATTCCAGAATTCTTGTGCTGTGAAACAACTAGCTATCGAGCAAACTAATCTGACATTTTTTTCAGCTTCATTGAACCCTTTTTGCCCACATTATCTAAACAGCCCTTTTTTACTACTTGTCCTTATGGAACCCTGTAAATTTTTTTGTCTGCTTCACTAAGGTTATTGCAATTTTTCACATTTGACTGACATATCTCAATCCATGTGCACCTGCTTCTTTAAGGTCTAAAACAGCAAAATTTCCTTGACAAGAAAGCTCTTATCTTCCATACTAATTTTTCCTTCTTTTTAACCACACTAACTGAATGGACCTCTGTTTATGAGGCATATGATACACTTTCTAACTTCTGATATTAAGTCGGTGTTTTGTTGTTCCTTTCCACCAATAAGCTCCCTGCAAGATAAAGCCAATAAGAAGAAAAAAGAAATTGAAGTTTAAGAATATGAAGTATAATGGTTTACATCATTCTTTATGTTTTTCACTGTTCTTACCTAGCCATATTATGCATGGCATGTTAGACACATGTGACATGAACGGCGGTCTGTTTGGATTTTTCTGTTCTAGTGCGCCCGAGGTCAGGCCTTTACCTTGGAGGTATGTCAGTCCAGCGAGGGCCATATGTTGGAAGCCCCGCTCATCAACAACCTGTTCCATTCAGCTACCAAGAAGGGTTACCATATGCTGCATATAGGTTAGTTCATCTCCTGGATCTTTTCAAAACAGTCGTTGGTTTTGGTTTAAGAAACAGAGAAATGAACCTTGGATTTGATGCCTATGTTTTAATCTTATGCTTAAGTTTATTCCCAAATAATATGATTGGTTTGAGAACTAAGTAATTGGATGAATGAGTAAGAAGCACTGAAGCTAAGAATCCTGTGGAGCAGAAAGATGTTTTGTTGATATTCAGTCTCTGTTTGCACTTTTGAATCAGAACTGATATGATATTAAAGCTGTAATTTTTTAAAAGTGATCCATTACTGAGAGCTCTTTATCTGGTTTACCTTTCCGACTTAGTATTTTATTACTAGAAATGAAAAAAATAAAGTAATGTATGTTTTAGTTTATTTATTGTTTGTATGATCAGGTAGGTCGTGGAAGTTTGGCTGAAATCAAGCTAGATGTAGCCTGAAATGATAGTACTATTACTAAATTTATGGTTGCTTTAATTTGATGGGCATGAAAGAAGGCATCAATATTGATCAAAATGTTATGCCCATATAGCTAAAAGCTATGAGACTAATAAGTAAATGGAATAAGTTAAAAGTTAAAAACATTTTTTTGAAATGTGATCCATATTCAGATATACGTTATCTGAATCAGGATTTCATTAAGACATTGCTTTTTCTATTTAATGGCTTATACTTTAGAAATAGCCTTTCCACAGTTGATGTATGGATGCATATCTGAAACCCTTCTCAGATTAAGGCTGGTTTGGTTCGTAGTTTCTTACCTTAAAATGACCTCGAGGAACCCTACCGCTGCTTCTGCCTCCGCTGCTGACGCTTTCTGCCATTGCCTTCGCTACAGACGCAGCGGACCGAGCCTTCCTCTGTTGTCGACGGACGAGTACAACAGCCCTCATAGTTTCCTTCCGTTGTCACTTCCTTCCATTGCCGAGGGAGAGGACTACAGGTTCCTCTGCCACTGACGGACGGCCTTTGGAGCTTCCGTCGCTACCGCTGCTGTTGTCCGTAGCTTTCGTCGTTGTCGCCGTTGTTGTTCGCAGCTTCCGTCGTTGCCACCGCTGTTGTTTGCAGCTTTTGTCGTTGTCACTGCTACTGTCCGCAGCTTCCCTCACTGCCTGCTATCCACAGCTTCTGCTGTTGCCGATGCTGTTGTTCGCAATGCTGTTGCAACTATCTTAAACTAATCCTCCGCTGCTATTGCTATCTCCTTTTGTTATTGTTAACATTTTTTTCTTCTCCCTCTAACTTTAAGTAATATACTGTTAACAATATATTTTTAATTTAATATCATATTTTAATTTAAATAATTATATATATTTTTAATTATATAATATATATCTTTTTTATTTTTAATATTTTAGAGAATTTTTTTTCTTCCCCTCTAAATTAAGTAATATACTGTTAACAGTATATTTTTAATTTAATATCATATTTTTTTATTTAAATAATTATATTTTTTAATTATATTATATATTTTTTTTATATTTTAATATTTCAGAGTGCCTTACGTTTTGGGACCTTGGCGCCTTTTGGCGCTTAGCATTTTTTAAATCACTGACTTGTACATATCCTACACGTTCTACTCAAGGAAATTTATGCAGTTGGGCAATAATTATCATATAATTGCTAGTACTATCAATTGATTAGCCACTTATGAATAAGGATGAAGGCATATTAATTAATGTTCCATCTGATTAAATGAAAGTTAATATTTTAAATGTATGGTTTACTTGAGACAGCAGTGGTGATACTGTTTGCACCATGAACATAAATGTTGTTCTCATACTAGTATCAGCAACTGGGTGGTATACAGACTGGTGCATTCCTGTAAATTTGGAAAATAAATTAAATATTTAATACTGACTGTTACTGACCTATATGATCTTGTATCACTCCTTGTTCAGACTGGTAAAAATCTGTTGGTATGTACAGATATTTGAATTCTTGGTTTGCACGTCTAAGAATATGGTGATTGGATTAAAAAAAAGGGTTATCTTGGCCTCTGATATTCATGAACTCAGCTTGAAAATTTATGTATATTGCATCTATGCTTCTGGTACATATAAGGTTTATGTTTCATGATGGTGAGAATACACTTGTTCATTGAATCAAGTGCCATAGGTTTGGTTAATCATTCAATGCTTTGGTTTCCTTTTGCAGTTACAATCTCTATGGGCCGGAGTATGTCTATCCACAGGTTCAAGACCCAAAATCATGTCAATCCTTTCTGAATTAGAATTTGTTTTGAAAATATGCAACCAACATGCTAATTTTGATGTCTAGTCTCTTTTGCAGAATGCATACAATCCTTATACAGGGCAGCCTTATGTTCAAGTTTATGGTTTTCCTGGAGCTATAAACACATCTATTTACCCATTTGATCAATTTGGCCAGCCTATTCCACCTGGTTATACGGCAATGCATGGCTACACACTGCCAACTCAACCAATTGTGCAATTGGGTGGACCAAATGTCAATGGAATGGCAAGTGCACCTCGACCTGTTATTCAGTCACCCTATCCAGCTGGTACATTTTCATCTAGAGATTTCTTTTCTCTTTAATACTCTTACACACATTATATTTATCAGGTACCGTGATAGGTATGTGCTGGATAGGCTTTTCCCATGTTGTCTGGGACATTGCTAATCTAGCACAGATAGTGTAGTATTAATGAGGTCTATAGTGAAAGAAATTGGGTAAATGTTACGAGGTGATACAAGTCTAGTTTGATGCTTAAAGATTGGTTATCGAATGACATTACCGAAGCTCAATTTGGTGCCTATTTTTCTCACTGTAGAACTTGCCTGCAAACATCTGTGATTTATGTATAGTTTGTTGCGTTTTGCTTAACATCATAACAGATTGGCTATTATCTTATTTAGGTTGATCAATTTAGATTATGATTTGTGCCCTTTACGTTTGTCTTTGTTCTCAATAGATGTATCATTTCTATCTCAAGGGAGGGCAGAAGCCTCTAATGTGTTTTTCTTTCTGAAATTTGTTCTTGTGGATGTGGTTCTTTTAATATTCTACCTTATGTGCACAGCAGCCAGTAAAATATTAATCATATTGGATTTCACAGGATTAGCAGCCCCAATTCCAGCACAACCACATGTCATAGTTCCTGCTCAGTCTCCACAGTTTATGCAGGGCAGCAGTTCAGATCAAACGACAGTTTAAATGTGCATCATGATATCATCTTGAGGTACACCACCAGTCCCACTCCAATTTTTCTTGATGGTTTTTTTATTGACAGAGATATGTTTTCTCTATCTTTAATAGATACCCTTAGATTGCAGCAGGACCAAGAACCGCAGTACTGCCATGTTAATGGCTTGCATTCTTGCCTTGCATTCTATCATCTTTGCATTCTAGAGGTTAGTTCTATTTGATATCCACTTATACATGTGGTGATTATAGAAATTTCTTATTTTGGAGGTTATGATCTTGGCGAGTAATATATGACAATATGTCACTGCAGCTTATCTCAATGTAGTACTTTTGCTTTTAATTTTATACGCATGTGGACTCAAGTATCTGGTATGATGTACCATCCGTTTGCCAAGCAGGTGCTATGAACAATACATATTGCATCCTAATGTATCAGTCTAAATACATGCTAGTGTGATGCTGGAATGTTTGCAGACATCATACTTTGGCATGCATGGATGTGTCTGGTTTTAGCTGTATACTTGTTTCTTGCTAGCACACTATCTTCTTGACAATGATTAGTTCTTTTATGGCATCCAAGTTTTAATTTTCCATATCTACTAGGAATTTATTGTTCAAAATCTTATGACCATTTTTTCTCGTGCAAAACCGTTCTTTGATCATCCAATTTGCAAATTGGTCATCTTGTTCATGGCTACATATATAAAAAAATCCTTCTGACTAATATTTTCTTGTTTGCCAGTCCTAAAATAATCACCCTAGTCATGGTTTGTTCATCTTTGGCATGACAGTTATTTTTTGCATCAAGTTGAAATACTTGGATGCCTTCAAAAAGGACAATTAATTATTTTGTTTGGAGATTCCACCTGGATATTGCAGAATTAACTATTTGTAATAAACAAACTTCCAGGAAGGAGGGTCATCATTGATTGTGCATCATTTGACTCTATTTAGAGAAGGTTCCTCTGTTTCCCTGCTTTTGTTGTAACTCTTTTCAAGTTGATTATCAAGTCTATGTAGCAAAAGTGAAAATTTCTGCTTGATAATCCCTTCACACATTTTTCTTTGTCCTTTTTGTGGTTCATGCATATAAAAATCATATCTTAAGCTTCAAGAGAGTACCTGATGTATTTCCTGATTAACACAAAGGAGCATGTCAGTTCCTCGTTTTACTTTTTGTTCTTTCTTTTCAGCATCAGCGATTCTTCTTATATTAGCTATGCTGCAGCCTTACTCTGAAGAGAATCCATTATATATATATATGTATATGTATATATGTATATATATACATATACATATATATACATATACATATATATACATATACATATATATACATATACATATATATATATATATACACATATATATATATATATATATATATATATATATCGCTTCGATAGAGGATGAGAAAAAATCATTTAAAATGGTATGGGCATGTGCCGAGAAAACCTCCGGATGTTAGTGATACGAGAAAAGATAGTGGACGACCTAAAAAGATTTTAATAGAAAACTATAAATAAGGATTTATATGATTTTTTTACAAACTCAATGATGGCAAAAGTTCCATGTAGCCGACTCCAAATAGTTAGGATATATGGTTTTATTGTTGTTGTTGTTATATATATATATATATATATATAATTTCTTGATGTGTTATTCTTGATGTCAGAAAATCTAGAATAACAGATTGATATTATTTTGCTGTTTTTCTAATATGGTCAGTTGCATATTTACTATGAACAGGGGATTCTATATGTTACTATCAAGCTAACATTTCCTTGTGCTGTTTTCGATAGGAAATCTAGAATAACAGATGAATCTTGTTTTGCAGGTTGTCCTAGTTATGATCAGTTGCAAAAAGCCATTAAGTTGCTCCGATGGAGGGAGCTGAAAGCACAAGAGCATGGGTTGCTCTTTGTTGCACAGTGTCTGTAAAGTCTCTTGCCCTGCTGGAAGTTGTGAAGTCTGGTGGAGCAAGAATACCTGGATGTCAAAATTGCATCCTACAACCTGTATGATAGATTCTGGATGTCAGAGTTGGAGTCTGACAACCGAGAGGGAAGCTAAATTGTATCATGGGATCCAAGTGTTACTGCCACATATATAGACAGATGAAGACATGTTGCTCATGCAAAGTTCAACTTCAGTGTAATGAGTAACGGATTTGTATGATTCGCAACATTAGTTTCCTACAGTGTCCTTCATTTAGCAGAAGAACCCTAATGGTACTAAACAGTACATGATCAAATAAAAGGTCTCAAAGGCATGGAAACAAACCAGATGGTTCAGTTCAATTTCCAACACATTTCTTATCAGCAATATCATGTCATGCATCCACTCAATTGAAACCAAGCTTTTCAAGGCATATATAAATGTAGTCCCTGAAACAATATTGCAGTGCTGTTTTTTCGAGTACATTTCATTTCTGGTGTTTGATGTCGGTGATCGTCTTGGCGAAGACGGCGGATTTCATGACTGACCTGCAAATCAGGTTTAGTATGTTTAGATCATTGCTAAATGAACTTCTATGTAGATTTTTACTGCTACATTGAATCATGGAGCATATAAACTCTGTTGCACTTCTGCATTTGTTGTGATTATGTAACATTTGAACAGCGTTGCATATGATATCACCAAGTTCGACTGTGAAGAGTAATAGTTCAGATGATTGCCAATTCTTTGTAAGAAAATGAAGTGTTCTATTGTCAATACAGTTGACTTTTTTTCCCTGAGAGATCACTAAATGAACAGGTCTCAACCAAACCTCTATTTACACAGCTTTTTTTACTTCCATCTGGAAGCACTTTTCATGCTCAAGGCACAAAGTTTCACACTTAGTCAATCAGACAGCCTTCTGATTCACTAAGCCTGTGTTGGAGATAGCTCATCGAACTACAGTAGTCTGTGTCGGAGGATAACTTCAATGGCTACATCACAAGCCACCAGCAAAGTCATCGCAGTCAACTTATACAATATGGAAATGGATGACCGCGAAAGTGGCAGAGGGGTGATCTCCTGCAGCTTGCTTTCGTACTCCACTCGGATTCATAGACCAGAAGTATGTCGAATCATGCAAGGCCAAGGGGGTTCTTCTTTACTGGCACTGTCTTCTTTTTCTCATGAAGTGTGAATAAGGAACAAAGACGCTTCAATGCGCATGTCATGGACGCATTTACTTACCCCCTGTTGTTGATGATGAACACAGTTTCTGAGATCGACATCAACCCACATGCGTTCATACCAAGAAAGGACATTGAAAGATGATCCTTTTCCTAAACGAGACTTAAAAGTCAGATAATAGATGAAGAAGACGAAGTCAGTTCGATGTTAGCCTCATCTTGATGGTCAGATGGGAGCAAGGGAACACGCTGTTTCCTTTCTCATGTCTTGACTGCTTCCTGCTACTTTATGGTACCTGCCAACACATGCATACTGCTTCCTTCTCACCCTCAGCTCCTCCTATATAAACCCCTCCAATCCTCCCTCGACGGCAGCCATGGAGTTCGAGGGGTGCGTTGCAGTGGCTGCAGGGCGGCCGACGACGGTCAAGAAGCCGAAGCCGAAGCCGAAGACAAGGATCTTACACGTGTTCCCGCCGGAGATCATAAAGACGGATGCTGCAAACTTCCGCGAGCTCGTGCAGAGGCTCACCGGAAAGCCGGTGACGCGAGCTAGCAGCAACAGGAGGAAGAAGAAGAAAGAGGACGAGGCTGGTTGCGTGGGGCTCGAGGGAGAGGTGGCTCCGAGCTGCGAGCAAGTGGGACTGTGGAGGGGGACGCAGGAGCCCGGAAGTGGGGGAGGAGCGAAGGTTGAGTTGGAGGAGAAGGATTCCGGTGGCTTCTCTTGGGAGTTTGGAGAGATCGAGAGCTTCCTCCATGAACTCAGTGATGTCTCGTGGCTTCCTTCGTGTACTTCCCCAGCTAATGACAGTTAGATCCTTTTTCGTTTTGCTGTGTTTTTGGTGGCTTTGATGTTATTCCCTGGGACGCCACGTTTGCTATTGGGTTCGGGTCGTAGATGGATCCGATACTAATTCGATCCGAGAACAACCCTGTGAAAGCCATTCGAAATGGCATCGTCAACCCTAGCCGGTGGTAGGATCGAGACGATGAAGGTATCGGTCAGGTTCCCAGAGGACCGGCCGGCCCTGGTGCGGGCCAAGATCCCCGTCGGCGTACTCGGCCTGCCTTTCATCTCTGGCGCCGCCGCCGCCGTCGGCGACGCCCGCGAGCTCCGGCTCGACCTCTCCACCGCCTTTAGCGCCGGCCCCTCCTTCCGCGTCTCCTACCGCCCCAACGACCCCCACAAACCCTTCTCCCTCGTCCTCAAGACCGGCGCTGGCCCCCTCGGCTCCCCCGCCGGGGGTTCCCCTCTCGCCATGTCCGCCGAGTTTGGCCTCTTCGGCGCCCGACCAACTTTCTCCCTCCTCCTCAAGCCTCGCGTCGGCGACTTCACATTCAAGAAATCCGTTGCTGCCGCCCCCGCGGCCGCCTCCCCGGCCGTGGAGGTCAAGGTCGCACCCGTTGGTGACGGCTGCGGGATCGAGGCGCCGGTTGTGGAGTTCCGGCCGGGTGGTGGGATCCACGCCGGGAGGAAGTTGAATGGCTTCCCCATCGACGTCTCCGCCTTTTCCGCCGGCAGCAGAGGCGGGATTGATGGGCTGCTCTCCGGGTTTGAGGTCAGCGCCAGGAGCGTCCTTCCGCTTCCGAATCGCACCGCTATCCACTTCAAATGGGGTCTGAGAGTGCCGCCGGAGCTCCGCACTGCCTTCGATGATCCGATGGCTCGGATCTCGCTGAGCAAGCTCCCACTCCTCGCCATGAGAAAGATCTCGATCGAACGTTTGACGGATGACCAGGATGTGCAGAAGAAGAATCCCGCTGCTGCCACTGAGGCAACGGATGCGTGCGCCTTGGTGAGGCAGGAGATCGAGGCTCTGCAATCTGAGAGCAAGCTGCTGAGGGGGGCCGTGGAGGACCTCAGGGCAGAGGTTGGAGGCTGGAAGTTCACTGCGGCAGGGACCAATGGGCGTTCACCAAGTAACACTGGGAAGCACAAGGGCATCAATGAGGAGCTAATGAAGCCTGCATTCATGAGTTCCTCCACCACGGCAGTCTGAGAAAATGGGGCTGGAGGTTTGCAACTCTTTACATTTTGGTGAATGCAAGCTAGAAAAATAACTAGTAACCAATAATCCCTATATCCTATTTTCCTTGGCATAATTGTGGTAGTATCTTTTGTTAGGACATGTAAATGCTGCCTATGTTTGTACTTGCCGCGGAATGGTATTGCATTTGATAATTAAGTTATTTCCAGGGGTTGCTTTTCTGTTTATTGGATCAATGATAGCTGGTAATCAGTAAATAGCTGCCTGATTTTTTTGAATTAATGATCTTTTTGGTATATTTCTTTGGGAAATCGGCTTGGACATGGTGAAGGAAGAACAATGTGTATCTAAATAGGGAGCGTAAAACAAACAGAAATGAAATTTTGCTTGATGGTGACAGAATTTGTTTCAAAATGGTGCTTGATCTCATTGCTTTCATTGTAAAGTTAGAACACGGAGTGCTTCTTGCGCATCTCTATGATTGTCGCTACTTGCATGTGATGCTAGACATAATGGTCATCTTTTAAAGTTGCAAGTTTGGATATTTAAAATTTCGATCCTACTGAGAATATGGTACTTCATTAAATCTTGGCTTCAAAACTTATCTCTTTTGTTGGTCGCAATCGCTCTATGTAGAGAAGCTAATAATGTTCAACATCCTAACCTTCCCCGATACTAACAAAGCTGGTGTGTGGCTCATTGATGTTCTTGTTGATAGTTGGAGTTACAGAAAAAAGTATGGGATGTCTTTCTTCATTTGTGTCATCATACATGGGATGAATTTAGATATTTCAACATTTTCTTTTTTTGCGTAGAGTTAAATTATAGATGCTCTTATATTTATGAATGCTGACTGTGCTCATTTGTTGTCTTTTTTAACCTCTATACTTTGGTTGAGAGCTAGGGTTTGGGTGAATATTAGGGATGGTCAATGGAAAATGCTACCGTCTTTGACTCAAATGTATGGCAATACATGAGTCATGGACATGGCATGAAGAGATAAGGCGAGAAGTTGTGTAAGGCTCGTGAGTACCTTACACATAAATCTGGGAGTCAAGATCAGTTGCAGGTTACCCTGGGTGGTAAATTTAGTGACTGCACTACTTTCTCATTTCTATGATGTGATGCATAATAAGGAACTTTGAAAAAAAAGTCTGCATGTTAGGGCAATTGAAGATTGTAGTCTATTGAAAACATGGTAGTTGATTATGATTCAGCTTTGAAGCATCTTTTACATGGATCAAAATAAATATTTCATAATAATCCAACTATTGGGGTTGGTTACACATGTCTATTCCCAATGATTCAGCTCTTGGAAATATGGTACCTCTAGTTAAATCCAGGGCATTCATTCTCTTTTTATTCAGTATGAGCTGTATAATATAGTGCAAAATGTAAATAGTTCATTTTAACCTTACCCAGTACTGGGACAAGTAAATAGGTCATTTGGTCCCTGTACTCTCAAGGGATTACCGGTACCATCCTTACACTTCTCTTTCTATCTTTTAAGTTGCCAAACGAATTTTCTGTTCACCAATATTATCTTCAGTGAAAAGAATTCGTTCCAACATCTTGATGTCACCAGTTTTTGCTGATATGGAGGAAGGTAAATTACATTCCAACTTGGTAGATTGCCTTAGCACTTGGCACTTGAACTACTATTGGTAATTCCATGCATTCATTTGTGGCAGGTACCTTATTTGTCACCAGTTTTTGTCATCAATAGTTGATTGTTTGTTTCTGAGGAGGGATAGCACACCGGTAGCGAGCCATGGACCGGCAGGACAATAGAGATGGCAGATGGTGGCTGAAAGTGATGCTAGCAAATGAAACAGTGCCGATGATGGAGGCAAGAGTTTCTCTGGAGCGAGTCATGGTAACCTCCACAAACAAAGTTCCACATGAAGCATGGTTCTGTCAATGGAATGCTTTTACCCTTAGATCAGCTGCCAAGTTAGAATCAAATCAGTGTTGTTTCCCCATGTCAGCAGATCCCATCAATCCTAAGCCACTGGAATGGTTTTGTTTGGCCGGAGAGGATGGAATCGGTGAGGACATTACAGCTTCTTGTCGCTGCTGCTGCAGTAATTGTTCTCCTTATTGCTACTTTTCTTACATACGGTAAATGGATGGAGCAAATCCAGACAACCAGCAGAGCTAATTTCTTGCCTGTTCTCTTCATTTGTTCTTTATGGATTAGCACGAATGAGCTGTGAACATGCCAACCCATTATGGCTTTTATGTTCTCCCTCGATCTCATCAGGAAAATCAATATATTGTCATATTTGCATTTCTTTCCTCTATTTAGAGAAGAGGAGACGAGACTGGAGATGATAATTATGATGTTTGGAATCACTGCTTGGCTATACTGTCCACAGACTTTTCTCCCATATAAGACCGATGTAACCTATTTCATCCTCTCCTCTCATGCCAATTACCTTCCTGATTTGATCAGATCAATTCAGAGTCGGAAGGTGCTCTTTTACGATCTTGCAATAACTATGTCTTCCACGGGTAGAAGATTGAGATTTAAAGGGAAGGTGGAAGGATTTGAGAGGGCCTTTGATAGCTTTCCTGTGATACGTATCTTCTCTCTCTACAAAGGGAATGCAGCACACATCTCGTCCATCCATCTGCATGCTATCTCAGCCACCGAGAGATGTCTCCCTCCACCACCATCCTCTGCGGTGCGCTCCTCTTCTTCCTCCTCGTCTCCTCAACCCTCCCGGCCGCGTCCTTTGACTGTGACGCGGGTGACCGCGCCGCCCTCCTCAAGATCAAGAAGGGCCTCGGCAACCCTCGCCAGCTCAACAGTTGGATCCCCGCCACCAACTGCTGCAACTGGTACCACGTCGGATGCGACTCGCAGAGCGGCCGGGTCTTGTCCCTCCAACTCACCGACACCTACGGCGTGGTCGCTGACAAGGTGCCGGCGGCCATCGGGGACCTCCCCTTGCTCCAGGTGCTGGCCCTAAAGAACATGCCCGGCCTCTCCGGCCCCATCCCCCGTTCCTTCGCCAAACTCAGGTACCTCGCCGGCATCTTGATCAAGAACAACTCCATCAACGGCACAATCCCCCGCTTCTTCAGCAACCTCCCCGAACTCAGGGTGATCGACCTCAGCGACAACAAGTTCACCGGCCCCATCCCGCCAGGCCTGTCGCACGGGGAGACCCCGTTCCTCGTCCTCCGCAACAACCTGCTGACGGGGGAGATCCCCGCGTCCTATGGCGACGTGGAGTACACCACCTTCGACGTCTCGCACAACCGGCTCACTGGGAGCGCGTCGTTCTTGTTCAAGAACAGGTCAAGGTCGACGTTTGACATCAGCCTGTCGTGGAACCAGCTGGAGTTCGACATTACGGAAGCAGCGCTTCCGGTGAAGCTGCGGACGCTGGATGTGAGCCACAACCGGATCCGGGGCGGCGTCCCCAAGGCGCTGGAGGACAACTACTACATGTACCGCCTCAACCTGTCGTACAACCAGTTGTGCGGCGAGATCCCGACGGCCGGCGCCATGGAGGCGTTTGGGGCCGACAGCTTCCTCCACAACAAGTGCCTCTGCGGACCGCCGCTGCCACCATGTCGCCACTGAGTGACGCACCGTGTTCGATGAAGCGCGCCAATGGCAATGTTTGTGTCTGAGGTGTTGTGGAAGGAATAATTTGGTGCATGCATGTGTGCTGTTTGATGGTCTGATCATAGTTCATGATAACTATGTAGATCGATAATTTTAAGTTGATTTAGTTAATAAAGGTAATGAAAGGTAAGATAGGAAAGAAAATAATCATTTGATTGTTCCAATCACAAGGAAAGTGACACGAAAAGAAATAATCATAGACCCATGCCCCTCGATCCTCGTATAAGCATTCATATTCAAGTTGAGATTCTATTGGTTCTTCTGGTCCCTGATCGAAAGGTAACTGATCTTATTATTTGAGATGCATTAACGTATCAACAAATATATCACGAGAATTATACAAAGATCTAAAATAGGAGTGACCAACACCAACCTCATGATCACATTGACGAAGAGGCCTCGATCAAGCGAGATTCTCTAGAGCACAGATGGATCTAACTTTTGTCAACATGTTTTGGATGGAGATCTTTCTTCGTATCAGAAAGACGGGGTTGTTACGAGATCCTGATCCCATAAAGTCCCCATTATGAATGTGTGACAAGATGAAATATTATAGGTTTTATCGAGACTATAGCCATAACATCAAAGATTATATCAACTTAAAGAGCTCATTTGTTTAGGGACTAGTACTAATTATAATTAAACAAATAGTGAATATCATAAAAAAATATTGTACTAATCGTGAATGGACAGATACACGTGAAAGAGAATTGGATTTGTGCGAATTCGAGAGGATCCGAGGCCAAAATAAATATAAAATGACATTGAATATGAAACAGAAGGTAGGTGATACTGGTGACAATATATATAATGATACAATACATATAATATATCTTTGTTGGTAAATAAACTAAAGTACATTATAGATTTCATAGGATGAGTTGGCAATGATCACTTTCGCTCTGGCTTTGACTGTCTGTCTCTTGCAACTTTGATATATGGTTTTGGTAAAGCATATGATGAAAAGTGGGTGTACGAAGGAAAATAATATATCATGTTCTCTTTTAGATAAGATAGTGTGTGCATGGAGTCCTATTTAATGACCTGACATCCCACGTGACATGTTAAGTGGTAGACATATGAGACAAATCATTCCTTGTAATGATGTAATTGTTCTGAGACACACTGTAATGGGTATGGCAAAGTATTCATGTGGAAGCTCTCTTTCGACAGTCTGTCTGCATCCATAAATAGGGGAAGATCTCCGGCTTCCATCTCTCTCTCTCTCTCTTTCTCTCTCTCTAAGACAAATGGCATCTGCTTCCGTAGCTGTCGTCCTCCCCTTTGTGGCGGCACTGATGGGATCACTATGGGGAGGAGGGGCTTCGGCGCACGGCGTCGCCGCCTCGTCTTTCAACAGTAGCTCCTTCCCTGCTGGCTTTGTCTTCGGCGCGGCCTCTGCAGCTTACCAAGTAAGTAAGAGTAAGAGGGTGTCTGTGTGTGTTTGTGTTTTGGTGAAGTGGTTCTGATGTTGGGTACGTATGTAGTACGAAGGTGCATTCAGAGAAGGTGGCAAGGGGCCGAGCATTTGGGACACCTTCACTCATCACCACCCAGGTCTGCCAATTTATTTGATGCTGTCGTTACTTAGATATTTTCGATGAACGAAATATTTTACGAGTCTATGATTTTTTCCGTTATACTAATTCACTTCTCTTAGTGTCGTTCTTGATCCTAACACTCTTTAGAATCTGTAAAAAAAAAATAGAGTTATAAGAAAGATATTGATAAAGATCGTTAGTGAATACCGATGATTTCGACGAAAGAGAAATGCTTTAAACTGAATGCGTGAATGAATCAAATAAATTAAACGAGTGAAAGAAAGAAAGAAGAATTATTTCATTTTTGACGGAAAAGATGATATCACTGAATCCACCTGACTGTTCGAAGAGCCTTTCCCAATCTATTCTTCCCACCCACTCTCTTTCCTTTAGTGTTGGGATTTTATTAGACAGATCACCATTTGATTTCTCTTCTTATATTCGTCATTTCCACATGCCATTCTTTGTTAGGTGAATCCGATACATAGAAACAATCAATCTATTGATCGTTCATATTTTATCTGTATGTCTGATATCGACTCATCAACCAAAGCGAATAAAGATATTCTATAAATATAGTGTGAATATTTATTTTGATGGATTTCGTACAATCTCTATATCTAATTTAGTGTTTGTAGGAGACAGCTTTCGATGATCCGAAATGAAATGGTTGTCCGAATGTAATCATATGATAAGATAGTGATGAGATCCACACTGCTTTTTGCGACCAGTGCGAGTCATGTCAAATTATTGGATTTGGGATTCGTGTGCTCAATCTTGTATTATACTTATCGTGTAAACAACTTTAAGCTGTGGTCTCGGGATCGATGCGATTTGGTTCGGATCCGGATGATGGGGATCTTCCTGGGACGCTCCTCCCGATTGCTAAGGTGGCCGATCACGGTGTTCCGATTGGGACAGGGTCGTTATTCCCTCCGGGCAAGAACTCCTCGCCTACGCGTTCAGTGGGGATCTTCGGCTTCGCACCTGCACAAAGGTCAGGTCGGGGAGCTCGGCCCGACCCCTCCGACGATCAAGTCAGTGGGTGGTCGTGGGGGGTTCCTCTTTTTAGCCAAGTTGTGACTGCTTCTCTTGTGCCTCTCTTTTCACTCCTCGGTGTGCGAGGGTTTTTATAGTGAGAATTACCGTCGCATGACGTGTCGGCCCGCAGGGAGTAGGATCGTACTTCTGGTAACGTCTGACATTGCCGTTAGCATAGCGTGAGGAATCGAGCCTGAGCAGGGTGCTAATGTGCCTTGGTAGACGTTCCAGTCCGCTTTAACCGGATGCCTCATCAGGTCAACAGAGGCGTGAGACGTCTTCTGGGGCAGCTGATGTCACGCGAGTCTTATCGCAATTATTACCCTCATCAATACTTTTCAGCGATACTCTAATTGATATGTGTATATATATATATATATATATATATATATATATATATTAATGATATATTAGCAGACTTGGAGTTTATTGCAATGCCTTTTGTTTTATGACGTTATGGGCAGAGAAAATAATGGATAGGAGCAATGGAGATGTGGCAGTAGACTCTTACCATCGTTACAAGGTTGGTTACTTCATCTCTGTCATCCAACGTTTTCCCTCTCAGCTACTGTGGTTGCCTTGGAATCTATCAGTTTGAACTTGAGTTGCAGGAAGATGTGGCGCTCATGAAAGAGATGGGAGTGGATGCCCACAGGTTTTCCATCTCTTGGTCGAGGATCTTACCAAGTGAGATTCACATTCCATCAACGAAACTATTCCGAATGTAATTTTTAGTTGGGTAGAATGATGCGCCTGCGATCTCACATCTCAGATGGAAAGCTCAGTGGAGGAGTCAACGAGGAAGGCGTCAAACATTACAACGATCTCATCGATGAGCTCCTGTCGAATGGTATTCATCTCAGTACACTTGTGTTTCTACTGCTCGTCGTCGTTGCTCTCCTTTCTCTCATCATCGTCTGCTCCTAACTCTTGTAGGTTTGCAGCCCTTCGTGACCCTCTTTCACTGGGACCTGCCTCAGGCACTGGAGGATCAGTACGGTGGTTTCTTGAGCCCGTTCGTCGTGTTAGTTCCACATACTCGTCATTCTAAGTGAATGTGTAGCATCACAATGTTTCATCTCTAGGAGGAACTCGATATGATAACTGCTCTGTGATGAATCTGTTCTTGCAGCAAAGACTTCCGCGACTTCGTGGAAGTGTGCTTCGGGGAGTTCGGCGATCGGGTGAAGCACTGGATCACCTTCAACGAACCCCTGATCTTCTCCACCATGGGTTACGCTACAGGACAGACGGCACCGGGCCGATGCACCCCCATACTCGTCGGCAATTGCACTGCAGGGAACTCAGGCAGGGAGCCCTACGTGGTGGCTCACCACCAGTTGCTCGCCCACGCCGCCGCCGTGAAGCTCTACAGGGACACATACCAGGTAATTAAGCAGAGCGAGCTTGGCCAACACTTGGGTGCCATCACCCGCCTCCTCACGAAGAAGATGCATGCAGGGATCTCAGAAGGGAAGAATAGGAATCACACTGACGACCACATGGTTTATTCCACTCTCCGATTCCAAGTCCGACGTCGATGCTGCTCAAAGAATCCTAGACTTCAATTACGGATGGTGAGCCATGGACAGGTTGAAGCTGGTTCGAAGCAGAAACCCTGACTGCTGTTTCTTCTTCTTCTTCTTCTTCTTCTCTCGACTGATAGGTTCATGGATCCTCTAACCGGAGGGGACTACCCATTCATCATGCGGACGCTTCTCGGGGATCGCCTACCGAGGTTTACCGACGAGGAATCCAGGCTGATTAAAGGATCGTTCGACTTCATCGGCCTCAATTACTACACTGCAAGCTATGCTTACGGTCTTCCTCTCTCCAAAACCGGCGTTCAGAACTACATGACAGATTCTTTTGTCAGCAGCACCGGTAATCTACTACGATATGTATCAGCTACTTCATCAAGGAAGAGATGTTTAACCTAATCTTCTTCCTGCAAGTGCAGCGGTTCGTAACGGAGTTCCGATCGGTCCTCAGGTAACTCAAATCACCTCAGTTCTTTGTAAGCTTGCCGTCGGCTGACCAGGTGAGAGTGTGCAGGCTGCTTCCAGTTGGCTCTACGTCTACCCGAAAGGGATAAGAGATCTCCTGTTGTACACGAAATCCAAATACAACAATCCGGTGATCTACATCACGGAGAATGGTAGGATCCATCTGCTCTGTCTTTTGATACGGGACAGGTTGAACTATTCTCACGGAGAGGATGGTTTGGCAAGCAGGTATCGATGAGGTAAACGATGAAACAGTGCCTCTCAAGGAAGCACTCGAGGATAAGACGAGGGTCGAGTACTACAGGGGGCATCTGCTCTACCTGCAGAGAGCTATCAGGTCTGCGAACATGAGGTAGGATTCCTGAGTTGCCGATGTTGAAACATGACAGCTATTTTGTGCAGGAGAGGAGCAGACGTGAGGGGATTCTTCATGTGGACGCTGTTGGATGACTTCGAATGGAACTCAGGCTACACTGTAAGATTTGGACTCCATTATGTGGATTTCAAGGATGGGCTGAAGAGGTACCCCAAGAGATCTGCACTCTGGTTCCGTGAGTTCCTCAGGAGATCGTAGATGATGCATCTGCCACTGGAAGAATGATGATTTGACGCTTGCTTCTGCTTTCTTTTACTGCAAAGAAACTGGCTGTTCTTGTGGTGCATGTCGGAGTCTCGAGACAATGCTGTAGTGCTTGCAATAAAATGCTACTTGTTTTCACTTTGATATCTTGATTCTCCCTCGTCCTACATTGATAGGAACAGCTTTCTCGTTCCAATGGCAACCCCCACCTTGTTTTGCTTGTGACCCTCATAATACCAATTGCTTTCCTGACCTCTCATGAACAACCCTCTATCTGTTCTCTTCTTAGATGTTTCACATGATCATACCATGCAAGGAATCAAATTTCGATGACGGATATCAAATCATATAAATTAATATCGATCACCGCATCTTATGATATACCAACACTGCAAAACAAATAACAAAGTGAGTTAAACCATTGATGATAATGAGGGGATAACCCTCTAAAGCATAAAACTCCCACTCTGAAGCCAAATTCTCATGATGTAAAGAAAAAAAAGTCTCTTGTAATCACCAAATTTTTGTAGAGTTTTTTCTATAGAAGAACACGTCCGTGATATGCAGCAGAAAAGAAATAATTCCAAATGAACTTTTGGATTCATATTATACAAGATATGCTGCTCAACACAAAATAATGTCATAATGTGATGTTTAATCAGGTCTTAATACTATGTTGGATTACTTTGGCTCAAAAACAAAACTGCCCAATCAGAGGGAGCTATACGGTTTAAGAAAAACAATTAAGAAAACTAAAAGAGTGAATTTTAAGGGCTATACAAGTTTGAGACCCTGATGACCATGGTTCTTGGACCCATGCAGAAAGATGCATAATCTCAAAACTTGTATCAGAAGAAACAAGATTGGTTGCAGTCCCTACAAATATCAGACTGAGCAATTATTTATTCTAATTAAACATAAAAGGAGTGTCTAATCTCAGCTGGAATTGAATTTAATTAGTGTCTACAACACTGGGATTTATGAATGAAAATTAAGGGGGAAGAAAAATCCCCCTGGCCAGCTTTAGCATCTCTTCTCTGCGTTTTAGGCTTCCACCTAACATCACCCTATTAATGTTTTAGATACCCATTGAAAATGTTAACTGATTTAAGTGTACCTCCATTCCCCGGTGACCAAGTAACGGATATTAAATCAGTTACTATAGATCCATGGCCAACCTTGATATATAAATCTTCAACGCTTCCTTTATCATGATGTGGCTTTGGATTTTAATTTTTGTTTCTTGGAGTCCAATGAAGCTAAAGATGTCCCTAATCCAACAGGAGCTTCATCTTTGTGGCCTGACCCACTGGCATCAGTAGCCCCAACAGAGCCATCAGACACCCAGCCATTACCTGCATCCTTGGGTTCTTGTGCTTGGCCACTATTTGGAGCATCAGGAGTAGAACTTGAATTGATGATGTTGAGCAGTTGTGATAATGGGGGCAACGGTTGGACAGGAGCTGCATTCTGGCGAACGAGGATGCCTCTGGCTGCAGCTTTCTTCCGTGCTTCTGCTACTGCTTGAGCTGCTCTCTCGTCAACTCTCCTTCCACGAGGAAGGGCCTCACCAACCACAGAAGTGCTTCGAGACTTATTGACTGTTAAGCCGGCATTCCAAGACCTGGCTGCAGTTTGGAAAGCTTGTACCAGTTCAGGATTTGCCTGTTGAAGCAAAAGAAGATATATCAAATGCCAGACTTTGCATAAGCAGAAGAATGTGATAATTAATGTGGGGATTCAGAATTGAACCAAGGAAATTCAAGAACCACTGCAAGGATTCTAGCTCATGATTTATGGCTTGGAGAAAAGTACAAAGCAGAAACTTTCAGTAACGTGAATTTATGTCACTAGCCATGCACCTATAACTTAACATGACTTTAACCACTAATAAACAGCATACAAATGGTCATCAATATGATAAACTGCAGAAAAAATTAATGGACACCATTTGATAAAAAAGGGCATTGTCTGCTTCCACCTATGCAACAGTAGGTGCACAGTAGTGCTAATATAGATGGTCAGGCACCATGAACCAACCTACCCTGGAGGTTACAAAACAATAAGCCAATCCTTCCTAATCATTGTGTTTGTATGAAACAATCAGATAAGGCACCATAAAAAATTGCAGTTAATGCAAAATATAATGTTGCATTAACTGATGGCACTATAGCCTTTTACCCTACAAATTTATAGGGTCTTAATTAGGAAAACAAATGCATCAACGTATAGCATTAACATGAAGTCCAAATCGTACATGTCATAGTTAGTAACTGCATATAAAGAAAACCAAAACGTAGCATGTCACTTGTTTGTAAATGCCAGGACAGACGGACACAAGGCCATTCCATACTTTGCCTATTTATAAAATTCTCATAATAGCTATGAAATATGAGTATAAGTTAGTCATCCATAACTAGGATGAAACCTAAAAAATGGAACACTACTAAAATTATTTTTCCCTAGCTTACATGATCAATTAAAGATTTATTCAACAAAATAAACTAAATATCCAGAGACATTTTAATCATAGCAGAACATAGTGCCTTGGTGGCATATGATTTCATCTGGACTTCCAATATCAGGAAAGAACCTAACAGAACTAATGTTTAATGTCAATAAAGAAACTTCATTTAGGAGATATCAGGTAGAGGTACACTACCTTCAAAATATTGATAGCCTTGAGGGCAGAAGCAGAATCAACAGTTTGTCCTTTTTGCTTTTGTGCATTCACCTGGTTCAACGAAAACAAATAGAAAAAGAATGTAACGTCGAGCACTGAATAGGCTTGCAAGTGGAGCAAAACTCCCATATTCTTTGAGAGAACTGATGGCAATACTCAAAAAACTATTGACCAAGAATACTTTAGTGAACTAAATTGCAGCATGATCTTTAAATTTTCCTTTCATGTTCTACCAGGAAAATGAATTAGTTAAAGTCTTACCTTACTAACTTCTACTTTCCCCTTTTGTTAGGTGTCATCAGAGTTTGCTTTCCTAATAGAAGCGCTAGAGCAACCTCCTATGCCTTTGATACTGTAAAGGAACAATCAGCACATGATTCTCTTTTTTTTTTTTCTTAATCTTTTCACATCTCTTCTTGTGCCTGTTCTTTTCCCCGTTCCTTATATGGTGGTCTATAGCATAGAGCTACCTCAGTTTCAATCAAAATGTATCTACACCTGGGGCCCATGGCAGAAAACAATTTCTCGCTCCACTGCGCAAAAAATGGCCGACCTTCTGTCCTGTTTCATCTAGATTAACCTGATAACTATTTTCTCAGTTGCAAGAACAACCACAAACCACAATTTCCTAACTACTTGGTATTGGCTAGATCTTCTCAGTTGCATGGCACTATAATATCTACCAATAGGAGTATATTTATCCATTCCTACAATATAACAAATTAGCATTACATCTTTTCCACATTACTGAAACTTGCAATTACCTGCTGTTCACGCAATCTAAATGTCTCCATCCAACTTTCTGATTCTTTTGTTCTTGAATCTTCCTCTCCAAGCTGCTTAACTAGTATATCATGAGTTTTCTTTTCATGCTGCCATCAGAATAACCAGTAAGTGCAAATTCTAGCATCATTCTATAAGCTAACTCAACAAGTATCACTGAAGATACATGCCTGAATAGAAAGTCTGTAGGCACCCATACAGTCAAATGCAATGGCAAGAGCATGATAACACACTGCAGTCTGAATATGTTCAGGACCAAGAAGCCTTTCATTCTTTTTCAGAGCTTCTTGTAAATACCGGAGAGCAGTTTCCATGTTTCCGATATCCTGGTACATCATAGCAACATTTATGAAGGTTGCTGCAACATCAGGATGATCAGGCCCTGATGATAAGCTAAGTAGAAGCAGTGTCCGAGACATATGACGCAGACCAAGTTCTGTCTGATTTAGACCATGGTAGAAAAGAGCAATATTCCCATAGCTGAAATACCAAAATATCATAGACGCATATTCAGATTGTGAAAATTAATGGTGGAAGAATATCGGATAGAACGAATGAAAAATAAAAGAAGATAAGCCACTACCTATGAGCAGTGTCAGGGTGATCTAGACCAAGGCAACGCTCATTTATAATTAGTTCTTTATGCTGTTGCACAATTGCTCCTGCGATGTCACCCGCATGATATAAAACCATTGCCAGATACCTGAGAAAGGAAGAAACAAAAGCCATCAAGGAAAGCAAGTTATAAAAACTCCAGAAGCAAAAAGGAATGACAAAAACAAATGTGGTTTAATAACAGGAATAATTAACAACTTGAGGTGATGATTTACAAATCTTTTGTTTGTATTTCTGATGCTCATTTATTTAGATTAGTTTGGTGCACTAGCCGCTCTTATCTATTGATGATAAAAGATCGACGTTTCAAAAATATATATATACAAAGATCAATGATTATACCGACAACAACTAGCCACATCTCGGTGCAAAGGACCTGTAATCTGCAACAAATCAATAAAACTAAGGAACTCCAAATGTAAAAAAATGATTGGAAACAAACACAAAAATGAAAAGAGCCTACTTGCTGAAGTATGGAAAAGGCTTCAGAAAAAAGAGTGTAAGCCTCATTGAGCAGTCCCTGAACGAAGTAGCATCATATGTTACTTCAACATTGCCAGCTTGCATTATTAACACAAGAAAACACATCAAAAAAATTTCCCTTCATTATTGGTCTTTGACATGTACCTCAGATAATCTAGCTTTCCCTGATTCCATGAGATCCTTTGCTTCTGAACACGTAGGAACCGAATGTTTTACAACAGGTTGGAGATTCAAAATATCTGAGGTTTGGAATGGTAGTGAAGCACCAAGATCATACTTTCTCGCTGCAATTGTTATCCCTACCTGTCTCAAGCACAATAATTTGATAAATAATCTTAACATACTAATTTTGTAAGCAGAAGCAGTTCAAACAATTGTCCTGAATAACACTAATAACTTGCACCGATCTTAATAACACTAATCTTGCACCAAATTGTCCTGAATAATTAATACAGTATACATATAACTCTTAATAGATTTCTGACAAAAAACTTGTAGATGGCTACAATTGTATGCTAAAGAAAAAAAAATGCACAAAAAGATCAAACCATAAATTATTAATGAAATAAACAAGAGATCAATCTATAACAACCAGAAAGTAGATTGTAGAACTACAATGACGTTCTGGTTTCATAATTTCGAATCAGACAACAGAGTATAAAAATAGTCTTACTGGAAAAAAAAAATTAGACAGTGAACTTCTAATAATTGGAGATGAAGATGTACGGTACAACCTTTTGGCACAAATTGCGAATAACTGCCAGCTTTTTTACCCGAGTCCTTGCAGCATCTGGTAATTCAAACTTGAATAAAAAACAAGTCGAAACTGTTAGGTTTCGCAGTTTCTTTTTATGAACAGAAATCACAAGTGATTGATTTACCTGATATTTGAAATTTGCAAATTCCTGAATGCGAGACCATAATCCTTCAGAGGTTAAATGCATATATGATAGATGATTTTTAGTAGAAAATTCTCCATGGAGCCGTCTAATTTGACCCTTCATGAACTTATGCTGAGATTGGTGGCGTCCTTGGGCCTGCCAAAGATCATGTAAAAGAATAATGTAATCAAACCATCAATAAAATCATCCAAGTTCAGAAAGAAAAGTTGAAAATACAAGTTTGACAAGGATGCTTTTCCTTTTTGAATTTTGTAAGAGGCAAGGAAACAATATCATAATAAGTTGCATTAGAACAAGCAGATATCCTAGAATTACAACCAAAACTAACAATAGAGCTTCCTTTTAATTAACCTAAGATATCTAAGAAACCTCAGAGCACATAAGCTGTACTGTGGAATGCCTATCCTTTTGTCCCAGGCAAGATACAGAGATTGCCGAAGGCAACTACTATGCTGACAGCTGGTGATGGGGAACGCTTATAAGAGTTAATGCTTGGTTTGAATTTCTATTACATTCCAATTGGACTAATAATGAAAAATCACTTAACCACAACATGAAAGCCAAATTATCACAAAATCTAAAGTTGCTGTACAGGAGATCATCAGCTCACCTCAATATCACGTAGCGCAAGTATCTACATAATCAATTCCTAGTTGTTTTGATCAAGCATAAATGGAAAAAATGAGACAATTTTGTGTCTGCATGTAGAAACCAATTAATTTGTATGTATTTAATGACTGGCACTAAAGAGACGAATAAGAACAGGCATGCTCTAATGCAGGTAAAACATCTAAAATATATCATGTACTACAGATATAATTTCAACAGCGTATTCTGCGATACACGAAAACAGTAGGAAGGAGACAAGATTTGCCATACTTTCTTTTGGGTTTTTGACTGCATATTGTCTGAATTGCCTTTTGCAGCAACAGGTGAAACATGCCCAATAAAACAATTAAAGAAATGTGTGATGGCTGGCCCTAGATCATGATCCTCAGACTCCCTAAGTAAATCCTACAAGAGACAGAAATAAGAATTAACCCACAGGACATAAAGCAAATTAGCAATATATAATGGCAATACATAAGTATTTTAGCATGCGAAATTTTATTCCTTGGCAAGATTTCTAGTTAATGTGGGAAGCTCATTGTATCAACTCCTATCAAGAACAAAGGAATCCACAAAAAGAAACAGTAGCTATCCAATGCCTATAGCTACTCATGATACCTTGAGTACTAAAAACAGGTTGTACATGAAACGATCCTTATGCAAAAAAATATTGACTGCCATCGAATATAACTACCATGTATGTAGATTCAAAAACTAACAATTCAATAGCTAATTAAATTGATTAAAGACAACATGCTTGACAGCATCAAAGTAATATCAAAATACTTGCCAACAAGAATATCTGCATAGAAAGAATCCTAGAAAGCTATAGATGCAATAATTTTGGCAAGCTCCAGTAAAATAATGATAAACTCATCAACCTACAGAAAAACAATAAAAAAACACAAAATGTACATTAATATATGCATATAAGTATGACCGTCACAAACTCTGACATTTCAAATTCCTCTTATTAGGGGTAGAACCATGAACCAGATTCAAGGGATCAGCCTATTTAACAAACAAAACATGGAAGCAAAAAATCTTACTTGACGTTTCTGCAGCAGGAATTAAAATCAAAATCAGATATATGGTACACCACTCAACCACTTAAGGAATCATATTAAAAAATGTTACTGTAGTCAGGTTATTACCCATATCTGATATTATAAGGCATACTTCACCTTCCCAAAGATTCTGACCACGTCTTCTTATAAAACATCAAGTACGCATGTCACTGTGGATAAAGTAACAAAGACAAACAATTAGCTGACATGAAAAAGAATACCTTTAGGATGTGCTTCGTTGACCTAACAACAATCTCAGTGGAGCATATATCCCATAGATGAGGCAAATGCTTGATCATATTAGCTACCTGACAATAAAACAGTGTGAATTAGTATATGGAAAGCTCGAGATAAACACCAATTAAAAAACGAAGTATACTTTTCCAAGATATCGAATGTTTATCCCATGAGCATGGAGTGCATCAGCTAATGTTTGGCCATCCATAGGTGAAATCTCAAGAGTGCAAAGATCTTGAACACATTTTGGGATAACCACATCCACGAGATAAGAACCAGCTTTCCTAACAACTGATTCATCAGCATTAATTTCCTAATGATAGGAACAGAGTACAGCACACAAAGATCAAATTAGTGCCAAAAAGTACAGTAAGGTGAAACCTATAGTAGACGATCAATTATGCAAGTTTACCTCTTGGTCACCGGCCATTTTAAAATCAGTAAACACATTCGGATTCAGAAGTATTTTGTCAGATGAGATACCAAGCACAAAAGGCGCAGGAGCACGTTCTTCATCCGTATTTGAGCTGTCTTCTACGGTAACCTGCACAGAGATATTTTTTCAATCTTAGAACCATAGCAAATTCCTTTCATTTTTTCACATAAACTATTGAAAGAAATGATGTTTCCTTACATGATGGTTTTTCTTGTTAGGTATAACACAGGCACATCCCATGACTAAAGCCTGGTATGTGCCTGATTTGACCGTATAAATTTGTTAATATTATGGGCATCTGCCAAAGAAACCAGCCTAATGACACACGGCAGCATAGCCAGTATGATTAATCCACACTTTAGTAAATAATTCCTGTGATTAAAGGACCTATGAGGTGGAGCATGAACATTTGCCTGGCTTAACTGCATGTGGTGGCATAGCCAGCTTAATTAACCAAGCTTTACTATGTAATTATTATACTGGATGGACATTTAAAGTGGAACATGTAAATTTTTCTTTTGACTTCTTAGTTATTCAACCATACGTAGGCCAATATGTGCACATTTTGAGCAAATGGTGGACAAAGAACCAATACAAAACCAAAGAATCTGAGAGAAGAAAGCACCAGCCCCTTTGCTTTTGTGGATTTGGATATAATGGTGAAATTAAAAGTTAAGAGGTGCCATCATAGCAAATAAATTTTCATACTAGCAAAAATAAATGTCACACAGGACATATTCAACTTAAAGAATTCACTTGGCAACTAAAATAATCCATCAGCATAAACAAAAGAATCAAGATCTGATATTAGCACTCACCGTTACATCGCCACTGCTAATATCTTGATTGCACGGGGCTTCTGGGGCCTGTGTTGTTGTTTTAGCACTAGATTGTGACCTCTCTGCTGCTTCAGCCTGTATGAAATAAATAATGATCGACTTGAGAACGAATCTCTGGATTTCATCATGAGATAAATTTTCTTACTGAAAACAATTTTACCACACAAAATGAAGCAACAAGCTCAGGCCTCAAGACACAAAATCGGTGTGCTGGTCCAATATAATTTGCATCACGCGGAGTCACTCTCATCAAATCCAAAAGATAGTGCCTAAGAATATTGCAAAATATCAGAACATATACACTATGAAAAGTCTGACCCTAGTTACATTAGTCTATATTGAATAATTTGCATCAGGGGGAGGCAATAGAATGCAACGATGAAAAAACTGTGGGGTTTTATTTTAACTTGAAAAATGGCAATCTGCAAAAGAAGGAACCTAGATAGAAAGCTGCTAAAGAACCATTAAATTCAAAAAAACCATCACAAATAAAAAGGGTGATATAGAAATTGAAGAAGTCGTTGAGTTAAACATGAAACATACCAAAAAGAATCAAACCCATTGGTGCACAATCAGAAAGCCCAAGCATGGACAGGTACAGCCAAATACAAGGGCATGTCCTATTAAATATTCTAGGATACTCAATTCACCTTCAAATGTATCCAAGCATACAGAAGCATCTTTAAGGCTGCAGCTCTGTCTTTTTTTATGCCTGAATTCATCTTTGAACTATGCATGTGTTTCTCTCTAAAAATAATTACACACAGAAAGATGAAGGGTCTAGATATCCTAATAAACCTCCGGAAAGAAAGGAAATTAACATTTGCCTCCAGTTTTGGAAGCAAATGATCAACAGCTCTGCATTTTCAATTTTGAGAGCATAATTATTGTAAAGAGAAAGCAATTGTCGTAGTCGAGTAACCACTTCACTGACATTCAAAAAGGTTGATATTTATTACCTGTCATCACTACCCACAATACCCTTGCATTCTACTGGAGCAGCTAATTTGACAGCATTTCCCGAACCATCCAACACCATGTGTTCCTTCAAGTGGAGGCACTTGGCTGCCTCTACAACCTAGAAAAAACATTAGATGATATGTCATAAGATTGCTCATGGAACAATAGAATCAAATAACAAAGTGATGTATGCAAATAATAAAATAAAGAATTAGAACTTTGAGAGAGTCAGAAGTATACATTAATTTTACATGAAATTGTATATCTGTGAGCATTTCATCAGAATCATCAGCAATCAAATCTTTAACTGTGCTTAAACAATTTTCATTATGAGAAAATTGCAATAGAATGATGGAAATATCTAAAGATCCTTATTATTGAAGACTATTTTACATGAATTCCAACAGTCCATCCCCCATCAAGAATCTGTGTTTAGCTTCTACCACTGGATTATTTATGCTGCTAAACCAATCTCAATTGTCAACGTTGCAAGGGAGCTAAACTTGATAGGCAACTGACTCAATAATCTAAGTGAAAGCAGGAAAATATAATTGTAGATTGACCTCATCCTAAATTGGTTGCTTTTGCAACTATCTGCAGATAAGGCAGCTAATAAGAATATAGACAAAGATATCACAAAATCAGAAAAAGGAAGGAAAAAAAGGAAATTAGGCCAAACAGAAAAACCCAATAAATGTTAATTGTCTAAAGAATATTATTGGTGACTCACCTTGGAATGAAATGATTCATTCCAATAGATCTTCTTTCCATTGTCAACGGAACCATACTGTAGGGAGTTTGATTTATCTCCTTGAAGGATACCAGGAATAATGCTCTGAAATCAATGTACACTATTAGAAAACTTGCCCAAATTTCATAGAAAATAATTTAACAAACTGAGTGTTGTTAAGAGTAAAAAAAGTCAGTCAACACATGCTAATATTGAGAAAATGGCAAAACCTCATTGACATAAGCCTCTTGGGTGAACAGTGTAGTCAGTTGTACTACTGAGAAATCTCGGAATATAAAACCTCTACTTTCCTATAAACCTAGGTGTACAGTAAGACATACAAAGTACAAAATCATAAGATCAAGAGCTCTCAATTCCAGTTGGGCTTTTCAAGAATACCCATCATGATATTATTGTAGTGTCTTTCCAAACACTAGTTAAACTTTGGGTCTTCTGTCTTTGACATAGCCTTTCATTGCTTGATTCTTTTTCTTTCATTTAGTGGCGGAAGTAAAAGGCTACCTAAGGGATACAATACTTGGTCAACACACAGACAAGTTTAATACTTGTAAATTAGCACTCTGGACGCTTTCAGATTTATGAGGCAACCCTCCCAATCGCCCAGAAAAAGGTGAGAGAACTCGTTTCCACAATTTCCATTGGGCAATTTGAATATGGAGTACACAAATATTTTTTAACAATGGAACATAAATATCACTATGGTGGCAAACAGAGAAAAGTTGAATAATAATTCCTTCAAGACAAAAAGGAGAAGAGAGAGAGGAGGTATAAAAGGAGGGTCCCCAAGTGCACCTGTGCTACCACTCTATAGCCTCTGTAATCAACTATAGCCATTGCAAGATTATAAAGTCCAGGAACATCAGCTTCCTGGTAGGCTTTGGTTCCTTTCAGATCATTATTTGCAGAAGCATATGTGGCCTGCTCACTATCAGCAATCTGCACCTCAGCAGATGCATCAGTCATGAGATCTGAAACACCTTGTTTTTGTTCTTTATCTGGGCTCGTGGACATACACATGCTGGAGTTGGCAGTGGCCCCAAACAACTTATTACCAGCGGTCCTTGCCGGAGGATTACATGATACTTTGTCCTCACAGTTTTCAGAAACATCTCTAGAGTTCATCTGAACATTTGGTTCTTGACTTTTGGACGTATGTCCAAGGTCAGCATCCACAGCAAAACTGAAGAAAATGTTATTATGTACATACCTATAAAAAACAGAGCACACAAGTTTGTTAAGAAGGCCATAGACTTATCTAGAAACATGTTATTAAAGATCAAAGCTTTAAATACATGTGGAAATAAAGACAAACTGGATAAGAATGTGCTGATGCCTGATAGAAAGTGCACTAGTTGAATAGCAGTAAAAGATCTTGCAGAAATAAACAGATGATTCATCATAATGAAGACTAGCAACTGAAATTTTGAAAATGCTTTATTTATTCAACACCACCGAGGTTCAGAAAGGAGTTAAAGCCACTGATAAAATAAAATGCAGACCCTTTTGGGCCAATGTTGACAGGGATATAATAAAACATTTGCACTTGAGAATTTACAATAGCCACAATGGATTAGAATAAGAACACTAATTCAAAACCCATAAATTTCTAGTAAATAACAGGCCAGTGTTCAAAAATTCTATCGTACAAACCAATTACAACTTAATATGAATAAAAAAGACACTAAAGATTGACAACTGACATAATTTGTTATGCTAACTAAACAATAATAACTGGGAGTATAAAGTTTCTCCAACTAAAGTAAATTTATTACAAACATGTTGACCGCTTGGCGGAAACAACAAAAGTTGACAGCACAGAATAGCATAACAGAACCTAATGCATCAAAATGAATTTTAAATGATGGCAAATTCATATTCACCTTCAAAATCAGGCTGTAAAGTAACTCCATGATTCCTCAACATTTTGTTTCATAGCCCAGCATCAGTAGAGAAACAAATAGTGGTTCAAAATAATACATCAGAAAAAAAAATTATCATGCTTTGAATCTTTTCGATAGGGTTATTCTCATGCTTCAGACTCAAACGATCAATGTATAAGTTGAAAATTTTACTAGATAAAAAACTCTCTTCCCAGTCTCTTCCTACATGTCACCTATTTACTACTTTGCAACAACCAAGTTATTAATATGTGACTACCTTCCCCTGCAAATTAACGTTGCAAGAAGAGTCCTACTTGAAACTCCCATGGCAAATTTATATCACTCAAAAATTACTTATTTGAAATTATGATAACCAAATAGTTGAATATTGTATGTAAATGACGACTTCTATAACATATATGACTAAACGAAGTGTGAGGAAGCATTTTGGGTTGCATGGTTAAAGCCAGTTCAGCAGTCATTGGGTTAGAGGCTACCAAGTTGGAACAACAAACAACTGATCCCAGAGCAAATTTAGGATTTCTGGTGTGCAAGTTAGCGGGTTCAGTAGTGAAGAGGTATACAAGGGCGATACAAGGCCACATCTGCAAAATGATTTTGAACTATATTTCATGCTTTGATCAGCTAGTCGAGCATTTGAGTGAGATTGTGATGCCTCGGTCCTCATTGAAAGTTGGTAATGGGTGGTAAGTAAAAATAAGATTATATGGGCCTACTATCAGTAACTTGGAATTATGCATTTCATGTCATATGATCTAAGGCCTGCTAGTGCAAGTTATTGGGCTACCAGCTGATAGATTGTGACAGAAATCATGAATCAAGAGTCATTTGAATCTAACAAGGTTGTTAAAATAATTAATATAGCACTGAAAAACTTCAAAAGAAGAAACAATGGGTCCAGATGGTAGACTTCTACAAATTTGCTACCCAAGTACTTATTGGTTAATGGCATACATTCACACTGCAAAAGAAAAAAAAGAGTGATGCATACTAATCTGAATTAACTTACATATGAAAACACTCAGGATCTGTTGGATTAATAGGGGGAATACATCTGCTGATGACTCCTATTGCACCCTCGATTGCTGCATCAACGAAATCACAAGTCACTTTATAAAGAGCCCTTTCACGCAATATCCTGAAACAACATGTTAACTTTTAAGTCAGAGAAAACTAAAATGAATATTTTGTTATACAACTTCATAGAAAACAGTTCTGAGCACAAGATCAGAAAACAAGTTGCACTACAGAAAGGTGAAGAGGAAATCAAGAAAGAATTTAAACCTAATCCTGTGTATATATGTACTTGAGTACAAAACAAACCTTTCTTGAAGAGTCTTATGAGGAAACTCTCGACATGACTGTAATTCTTCATTCCAATCCCTTTGCATGCCGATAAGCTCGCTTCCAAATGAAAGAGAAAGAGAATCTTCTGCCCTTGCTGGGTCCCTTTTATGATCTGCAAAAGATCATTGGGTTCATCTAAAAGAACTATGGGTAAAGTTTAATTGCTGAGCACATAAGGACAAGTTGTTTTGCAAGATAAATGGCACCAAAATTTGAATGATCTCCAAAATAGCCATCAACTCATGCAATAAAGAAGGCATGTTCCCACTAAGACAAAGAGGAGACAAGATTGATTAAATGAGGGTGAGAAGTAGGAACCACAAAAGTTGCCTCTCTACTGGTGGAAAGTTGTATAAATAATTTTATGATGTATCTCTTGACAAATAGATATATTTTAGTAGTAGCCTCATCACATCTAACTGAAAGCTCAATTTACTTGCCGGTCTTTTACCAGTCAATTAGAATGACATTTTTCCAGTCCAGATTTCTTTTGACCTATTGTCATAGACTTAGTTAGAATTGTCTAAGTCATGACGCACCCTTGAGGCAATGTCACGAACTTAGCTGGAATTACCAGAGTCATGAGGCACCCTTGCGCTAATGTCGCAAACTTAACTGAGATTGTCTAAATTGTGAGGCACCCTTGCATTATCCGTTCGCAAAAGGTCAGCCTAGTTGTAACCTCGCTTAGATCCCAAAGGACCTGTAAAAGAGCAAACAGATTAGTTTGAAAGCGAGCGACGGACAAGTCCTGACGTCCCGCAAAGAAGACAACTTTATAAGCAATTCAGCAAACGCTCAATGTGCAAGAGAGAAAAGAGAGGAAGGAAAAAACAAGGACTTTAGAAGACAAACGAACAGTCGTAAGACTGCAAACGACTGCCACTCGAGTGTTGGGCGCGATGGCAGGTTCCCGTAGGCTTAACGTGCAAACTTGTGAATCCAATCAATGCCTAACACTACTCCAAACCCCCATCAGCCCTATGCCACCCAGGGGTTTTCAGGGTTCTGAGATGGTTAACGTTTCGCACAACACCACAACATACAAAAAATAGGCCATGACACCTAAAAACTAAGCCAATTTGGGGATGTTCTATTATTCTGGTGAGCAATCACTCTATGGCGCTACAAACTGTTCCTACTCATAATTTTCCAACAAAATCATACAAAAACACCACAAAACACGCTACCAAACATATGTACAAGAAAACAAAAGTGACGAATGGCCCGTTGACAAAGATGTTACAGGTGCACAATGATCATTTGTGACATTCTCCCCCACTTAACTATCAACGCCCTCGTCGACGCTTGCTGCTAAGCTTTGATGACTGCTTCTTCGTGTCCCAGGGCCACTTCACCAAGAACTCGATCATCACTTAGCAGTTCATCTAACAGCTTCCTAAGACTATCACTTAGCAGTTCATCTAACAGCTTCCTATAAGATTTGCCAACTCTGGAGGGGCCATGCGGTATGGTGGTCTCGCTGGAGGCTTCACTCCCGATTCCAGCTCGATGTGATGATCTACGCCACTGCATCATGGCAAGGTTTTTGGCAACTCAAGTGGCATAACGTCGGTGAACTCCTTCAAAACGTCCGCCACTATAGCAGGTTTATGAGTAACCTCCACATCAAATGGCTCTAGTTTTACCGTGGCCACAAAAGTTAGTTTGCCCTTTTGCACCAACTTATTTAGTTATAGAGCAGATATTTGTCGTGGATCCTTGGTTTCTCCTCAATAAACAGGAACCACGAAGGGATCGTCACTGCCCATCAAGCATAAGGAGTTTAGGAATGGCATTGGCGCCAACTTCGTTATGTGCATGAACTTCATTCCAAGGATTACATGGAAGTCATCCAACGGAACCGCCATCATATTTGTGCTTCAGTTCCATGTCCCAATCTTGATGAGGACCCCCTTTGCCAATCTAGATATTTGCTTAGCCTCCGAGTTCACAGCCTTCATCCGATTTTGGTTCTTCTCCAAGTTCAGCCCAAGTCGCTTTGCTTCTCAATCGGCAATGAAATTGTGGGTAGCACTCGTGTCCACCATCGCACGGGTTGTTCGGCCATTTAGCTTGATGTCCATGTACATCAGCTTGCTACTCCATGCTTCGTCTTTATGTTCTCCCCTACTTGACCCCGTAACGCATTCAACAAAGGCATTATTCTCATCTAGGGTCCTTACAACTCCTCATCATCGTTGTTGAATTTCGAACTACTAAAACTAAGGGCGACGACCTTGCCCTTGTCCGATCTAGAGAGTGGATTGATATTGTTAATGCATTAAGTGCTTACTTTTATGGGCACTCCCTCACCATGTATGATCTTTTGCACAAGAAGTATCTGTCAGGTTTTGGGGCATTGCCTTTTGAGCTTGGCCCTTTGTGAAAACTTCTTTTCTTTTGCTTGCTTCTAGACTCCTTCCCTTAAGAATACTTGGATGAGCGATTTTCCAAAGATTGTTTCCTTTTCCCCAAGAACTCCGAGGAAACAAAGTCGATGAGCCTTTCCACAATTACAATTACCTAAATCACATTAGTGATATTCCTTCGATGCAGTTCCTGCTGTGCCCACGGCTTTAGGCTATCAAGGAAGCTGAACAACTTGTCCTTCTCGAGCATATCTTGTATGTCCAGCATCAGTGCAAAAAATTGCATTGGGTAGTCCCAAATGAAGGTACTTTGGTGAAGTTGTCTCAGATTCCTTCTTGTGATGAACTCCACATTCTCGAGTAGGAACTGAGTTATCAACTCCCGCTTCAAGTCCTCTCATGTGTCCACTCAACGCCAACCTTGTTGGATCTCTTCCTTACGTGTTCACCACCAAAGTCTTGCATCCCCATTCAGAAACATGGTTGCTATCAAACTTTAGTTTCTTCAGAATCGGCCCTCATAGTTCGACAATACTGTTTCATGTCAAACAGAAAATTCTCGAGCTCATTCGCATCCCTGACACCCTCCTAGTAATGCGGCTCGGGTGCCCTCAAGTATTGTGCAGAGCAACGAGAGGTGTTGCTCCCTCCCACATTAAGAGCCCATGTGAGAAATGTAATCCAAGACATGAGCTCTACCACGACTTCGTGTAGGTGTTACACTGAGTCTTTCGTGTCTTCCGTCAATCGATCAACTCAGAACTCGACCTTGTCGATCCAAGATCCTCCTCCTTTTGCAAGTTCTCTACCCCAAGAAACCTTAGTTGGCCTTGGTAGAGTTCCTCTAAACTCGCTTCAAGAACGTCAAAGTGAGTTTCTACAGTTGTAAGCCTCTTCTAATGGCTTCTTTTTTCGATTGGTGCTATGGATTGTACTTCCTCCGCTCGCGAAGAATAGCTAACTTCTCGCTTGTCTTGTTCGTTGTCACGCTCCTCTTGAGTAGCTACAACAGCATTATAGCAAGTTTGCACTTGCAACACACCTACGACTGCTTGGGGCAATGGTCCAGCTTGCCCCATCTTGCTTGATTCACCATGATTCTTCACCATAGTAAGGTGTTGAGATGGCTAACATTTCGCATTGCACTACAGCCTACAGAAAATAAGCTACGGCATGCGAAAATTAAGCCATTTTGGGGTAGTTTTGCCCATTCTAATGAGCAATTGCTTTGCAATACTACAAACTGCTCCTATCAAGGATTGCAGTTCCGACCTGTGCTAGTGTACCAAGCCCAGCTCGGTACGTAATCAGTATACTCAAAATCATTAAAAAAAATCTCCAAAAATACCTAAAAATAGAAAGAAATAAATATAATTTTAGTATAATTTTAACAAAAATATATAAATTGACTAAATATCGATAAATTCTGATTAAATCATCATTAAAATCACTAATCACAGTATTACAAAAACTTAATTAAAACCTAATTAAATCTATTATACCATCACAGTGATCCAATCCTTAATATTCATGATATATAAAGATTTAACTATTTAAATATCAAAATTCGAAAATAAAATCAATATTAAACACACTAATCACAACATTAAAGGCCTTAATTACTCCCTAATTAATACATCTTGATTAATTAAAGTGTTCTTCCTCTTATTCCTCCCAACTTAACTTCCTAAATTTGATACAATCCACAAATTGTAACTTTGTTGAGTTTAGAAAAATGAAAATATGAGAATAAGAGAGAGATGTGAGTGAAAAAGAGTTTGAGAGAGCTTAAGAGATTAAGGGAGTAAAATAAGTTAAAAGAGGCAGGAGGAAAGGGCTTAAAAACCCTTTTCTAAGCCTTAAACAGTCAAATTGGCCATTTGACATAGGACAATCTCAACCCTTGATCAATAACGATCAAAATCTGATTGTTATCGACCAGTACTGATCGATAACGATCGGATTTCGATCGTTACTGCCTAGTACAGACTCCATATCACCCGATACAAGGTCAAGTAATCGATACCACCCAGTAAAGGGCGACCCGTGTACCGGTATCCTGTCAGACCGATACATATCGCTTATACTGGGCAATACGCATCGGCACAATAAACCTTGGTTCCTACTCACTGTTTTCAAACAAAAACACACAAAAACAAGGCAAAACACGCTGTCAAACATATGTACAAGCAAGCAAAAGCGACAAACAATACATTGACGAAAATATTCGTGACACTATAGCGCAATAAAAAGAGGATCTCCTGGCTATATTATATTTAGATTAGCAGTATGCTAGCATTTGCATTTTAAAATCAAAGACTGTCTTGAAGGTCACAACAAGGTGTTCAGAAAGCAATAGCATCAGGAATTTCTCAAGAAAGCAAACTAACATGACAACAAATAGGAAAAACTACACCATGGATGAAAACTCTCTTGGACCATGTATTAGGAAATAGGAAGCACAGCGACCAGGGTGTATGAAGATAAATGACAAATAGAAGCAAACTCTATCTTATCTCAATCTAATTAGTAAAAAACAACCAGACTCCTTTATGATCATGAGAAATGAAAGATTTAAGAGTTAGCAGTCTGCTGATAAGTAGACTAGAATGCACAGGAGACAAGTTGATTTCAACATTTATGAGTTTAACTGTGATAGTAGACCTACATATCTAGAAGAAATACCTAGGGAAACTATACATAGAAAATTTATCCGGAAAAATAATGCATCAAATCATAGAGGAAAGCGGTAAAAAAATAGGAAGCTAAACATGCAATATGTTAATATCACTCGTTACTAATACCTGGAATAGGATATACTCCCAACCATGTATTTGGTGGCAAAAGTGATTGAACACTTTCAAAAGGATGTGTAGATGCTTTTCGGTCCAAAATTTCCCGAAAACCTGCAACAATCCTATTAAACTGAGAATTGAGAATAACACGTAAAACTTAGCAAAACACACACAAACATGAGCTACCTTTCTTGAACTTGGAGCTGATCTTTTGCAACAAACCAATTAGAGTGCTTGTCTCATAAGCAGGCTTTAATGGTCTAGGATCCAGAATTCTTGCTGTGCTAGAATTCACATAAAAACCTCGTGTGGTTCCTGTGATGCAATATGTGTTTCCTTCTAGTGACACTACATCCATATAAATCAGATCTCCAACTAATCTACAAAAGAGAGGAAAATGCCAAAGCACATCAAAGTTAATATAAAGATCAAATATACAAGACTAAACTTGCTTGTTATAAGTTACTAAAAAAAGGACTGAACAAATAAATGGTTATATACATTTTGGGTATCAAATTAAAATCGATTGAAACAAGACTATAATACTGCATAAAAACAAAAAACCTGCAACACAACATCTTTGCATCATCTACACTGCAGATGTAAAAATATCATGGTTTATTTAACAGACAAGATAGAAGGTTTGTCTAACTAAATATGGTAGGCCATTATGCCTGTGTAAATGCAAAACAAAGTAAATCTCAAGTACCAATTCCTATTAGTTCATCATAATTTATCACATAAAGTTTTACACTTTATGCAGAATATAGCCAACACATGTTCAATATCTCATGTCTGTTCTTTTTAGTTATTTTTTATGGGAAATACAAATACAGCACAAAAGTGGGTCCAAGGAAGAAAATACCAGGATACAATTACTATGATTGGCTAGAGTCCACAAAAGTGAAAGAAAACATCTCAGAAAAAAAAGGCTGTCTTGTTAATCATATAGTGGAACATTCCTAGATTACACCAACAGAAAAAAATAAATTTTGAGAAATCATTAATGTATATTTTAACAGAATATATCACAATAAATCTGAAATTTATGTAAAAGCTAGGCAGTAAAATAAGTCTTTTTTTTAATTTAAACTACTTTGAAAATCTTATCTGTCTATGCAGACCATGAAGTTGCATATGCATATTTCAACTGCAATTCTAATGTGTACTGCTATCAGGGGTACACATGTAATAATAGCAAGGTCTTCAATTTCAAATAATATCGTCCGTACCGGGCGGTACATACCAGTCCGTCAGTAAACTAATACACAGACCACCTGCTACCTGACAGTATTTTTTTACTTATAATATATATATATATATATATATATATATATATATATATATATGCGACGTCGCCCGACGTGGGGAGAAGAGAGGCGGCGTCGTTTTTTTTTACTTTTATAAATATATATATATATAGGCGACTTTGCCTCGTTTTACTACGACATCGCCCCACATGGGAAGAAGAGAGGCGATGTTGCACCTTTTTTTCCACTTTTATATATAAATATATATATATAAGATTATATATATATATATATATATAGAGGCAACGTCGCCTTGTTTTTCTACGGCATCGCCCCGCCTGGGGAGCAGAGAGGCGACGTCGCCTCGCTTGGGGAGAAGAGAGGCGACGTCGGCAAAAAAATTTTATTTTATTATTACTATTATTATTATTATCGACGGTATACCAAGCGATATATCGCTCAGTATACAATATCGTACCGTACCAAGCGATTGTCGAAACTCCAGTACGATACAATATTTCAATCCTTGAATAATAGAAAATTTAAGGTTTGCATGTATGTCGCTGAAAAATGATAGAAGACAAAAATTAAATCTGTGAGGAATCTACTTCTACAAAACCTCATGTTTCAAGAAAGTATGATGCAATTTTAAACTTCTGCAGAGGTAAGTAAGCAATTTTTTGCCTTTATCTTTTTTATCCTTTTAATTAAAGGTTCATGATTATAGAATGTACATCTAAAGAAGCAAAAACCAAGAGTTAAATTGAAAACTAAGTAAAGATCAATTAACAATTAGACGGAAACTCAACAATAAATATTAGAAATACTAAAACAGAACAAAGAAGGTTAAACAGAAAGCAATTTACCTCCTGTAACTTGGAGGAGGGTTAAAAGTGGAGAAAATGATGCTCTCAACACATTTGATCTCCTTAGGTGAGGGCGATGACAGCAGATCAGAAAGGGCACCAGTAATATCCTCCATGAATCCTGGTCGATCAGTCTCTGCAGATTCCACTTTCACAGCATCTGTATAACAGAAGATTTATAATCAGAGTAATGAAAAAAATAAAACATAGCTGCATTGGAGAAGAATTCTTCCACACAGGGAATATATGATAAAAAATAACAAACATAAAATAGATACTGAAAAACAAGAAACAACCAACAAAACAAAACAAGGGATACTCCAACAACTAAAAATGGTGACCAGAAAAAGTAATATTACAAATGCTGGACAGCAATGCAGAAATACAGACCTGAAGTTTTTTGTTGTGTGTTTTCATGCTGCAAAGCCAGCAATGTCGATAAGGATGGCTGCAAACTTGCAAGAGAGAGCAATTCCCGGCAACGATGGATATGAGACCGGATGGATCTGTCATTGTATAATGCTGCAAAATAGAAACAATTGTCACCCATTAGGCTGATCAACTCCACAAAAATCAATGAAGAAAAAACAGTGGTAACAATGTCTACATCAAGCTTTAAATAGTGCTGCAAAATAGATCAATCGTCACCAGTTGGGCTGACGAACTCCACAAAGGCCAAAGAAGAAGAAACAGTTGTAACAAAGTCGACATCAAGGTTTAAAATTCACGATCCGATGCTGATACTGGTCAGCAGCCAGGCCAGAACGGTTATCATATGAATCAATGTGCTGACACTCAGTATAAAGTCAGTACTGTCAGCACCACCCTAACCAAACAGAGAGGGAGAGAAGAGGAAAGAGGAAGATAAGTAGAAGAGGAAAGAGGAAGAGGACTAGGAGGAGAACACAACGGAGGACGATCATCAATCGAAAAGGTGATGGTCGTGATGGAGGAGAGGCAAAGGAAGTGGCATACCAGATGTTGAGTGATAACGATTACGAGGAAGCAACAGTGACAGCGACGAGGAGAAAGAGCAGGGGAAACACACACACACACACAAAACACATGAGAGAAAGAAAAGGAAAGAGAGAGCACACCTCAAAACAGAAAGAAAGGAAAAAAATAAAAGAAAAAGATGGTTCTCATAAGTTATCAAATAAAAAAAAAGATAAGAGGACTAGGCAATAAGCCTCCCGCCTGATATGCCCAGTTCCAATGGTCAAGACCAGCAATATGCCCTGGACAATAATCATACCAGGTGGTAAGCCCCACACAAATAGGTTCTGAGCAAAACTCAATGGCGTGCTTACCAATTCACATTTGGAACGGTAAATACCAGATAGTACCTACCGGTATTTCTGATTTTGAATGCCCTAGTCTATATACCTGCAACCATCTCTAAGGAGCAACCACCGGCAGTAATATCTGCAACTTCAGAAATTTCATTGTAGTCTTCTAAATGATGACTGGAACCATCTTTTGTATGCAAAAACAAATCATAGCAAGTAAAGAAACAAGTCTCTGGAGCATCAAGAAGGAACTGTCTGACATCCATCACAGAATCCCCTGGGCTTAGCTGAAATTCAAAACCAAAGTTGCTGTGTGAAGAGCTAGGCTTAGCTAAAATTCAAAACCAAAGTTGACATGTGAAGTGCAAAATGACAAAGAGAAATAATTTTAATTTGCCACACAGTCGTCAAAAAGGTGCATGAATAAGCTGAATTTTGTCACCGAAAGCAACATAAGAGACAGCATGACGGCAGTAAGAAAAAAACAAATAATCTACTTTCATTCCTATTTGGTGTAAGCCTAATAAACATTGCAAAGAGCAAAATTTTCAGGATTACAAGCCAGGTTGCATCTTTTAACAATCCTAAAGTAACATCAACTCTCATCAGCATGAGGTTAGCTGTGGTGCGCAATGCACACTATAATGCGGTGCTCCATAAAAGGTTCACCAGAGTCTCACAACTAGTAATGTCAACCCTCTAACTGGTTCCAAATCCTAAGCAAAACCAATACCATTGAGGAGCTAGGAGCTCACCAGATCACTATATGACAAATTTGCAGGAAGCATGATCTAACATCATTTGTAGCAAGTTTGAGTTCATATAAACAATAAAACAGAACAAAACAAACACCTCAAAAGGCATCATACTTGAATCGCTTTGAATTGTTATAACAATGTTAAAGACTCCCAAGTTATTTACAAAAAAATAAGCATGTCCATCCCTGAAGACAATAAGAAATTGTGTGATGCACACACAATCTAGCAACATGGATGTTCATATAATGGAATGTGCACTAAACTATCTGCAAGTGTGAATTAGAATGCCAAGAACAAAGCTACAATAGTAGAATTATCAAATAAAGAAATAAATTTGGAAAAATCTAGTTCATTCAGTAGTTGCATGTCATTCCAAAAATATCAACACGTAGCAAAAAGAAAATGGCAACAGCATCTATCTTGAAGCAACTAACCTGCAACTCTAGTTTCTCACCAGAAAGTGCCTTGACTGGCACAGGGTAGAGATGAAGATCACCTGCATAGCAGAGCAGGGAAAAGGTAATTGCTAACTTCAGTTGTAAAGCCCCAGTAAGAAACTAATTGCAGTGGCATTTAGGTGCTTGGAAGAACATATCAAATACATGTATCACATGTTATAAACAAGTTCAATTTAACAAGTATAGAGTATAACTTATTTGTTACAAACATATCAAACAAGTAAAAGAATCTGACATAAACATCAAAATAATAATTTTCCCATATGTTACATGCCACAAAATCAGCTAAGCATTTTGGCTATAGAACATTTTTGTGCAGACAGCAAGTTGCTTTTAATTAAGAAAACACAACACCTTTGCAGTCTCTAACAACCCTCACCTACATTGTGGTCGTGGACATCAACGAGCAAACTGATGAACACGCAGAAATTGCTTCTTTTTGACAAAAAAATCACTTGATCTCCAAAAAAAAGGCAAGGATATATGAAAGGAAGCACTTCAACAAATTGAAAATAAAAAAATACACCTTCAGCCTGCTTTGTAGCTGTTGCTGGAGCATCTCCCTTCTGTGCCTTGTCACCCACACTACCATCCGTTGCAGGAGTTCTACTTGCCCCTTCGACTCCATTGGCATCACCATTAGATGCTTCCACAGCACCCGAACCATCATGGGATAATGCCGATGAATCTAGTGGCTTCAGTTGTGATTCTGCTGAACTCAGGGAATCGGAATTCAATGTTCTCCCCTTATTCTTTCCCTTAGATTTTCCAGCCATCTGTTTTGGTGAAATGTCAATTAGAAAACATGTACTAGTTTATTCAGTAAACTCCCACTATAATCATGATTCCTTGCAGGGGAAAGAAGATGATAACCAACAATGGCACAGAAACTCCTTGCCTCAGTTAAAAAAAAAAGACCACACAACTCCTCAAAGAGCTACCGAACAGAACGAGAAGAGAAGATATATTTGCAAAAGATCACCCAAAAATGGAAAAAGCAAAACAAGAACAGGAAAGAATTCGCATTCATACGAATACACAACTTCTGCATACTAAGTTAATGGAGACAGTGTTTCCATCGGTCATACTTCGGCATGCCAAACGCGCCAACAAAAAATCCAGAGCAAGTAATTAATGGATCGAAAACAACAAATTAAATAAGAGTAGCAGTAGCCAGACACTTTCCCACAATACAGCAGGTGCCAAAAGCGCTCCTGACTGACATTCGATCAGCAGACACAACCATTTGGCGATCACAGGAGTTCACTTAATGAAAAACACGAAAGAAAAGATCGAAACCCAAATCCAATGGAGAAAAAGAAAGGACAACAATAGGAGTGCAATATAGAAACTCTTGGTCAATACTACTGGGGTAAATCAAACCAATCCCACTAAACAATTCGGCAAAGCATGCAAAGAAAACGTACAATAATCAGAACACTTCGATTGAGCTACATGACTCTAAAAAAAAAAAGAACGAACGATCGGTGAGGAAACTTCTTCCAGAAGGGAGAGCGAAAGGGAGGCAGAAGATTACCGAGAAGCTAAAGAAACAGGAGGAAGCGAGGATTAGTTGGAACGGGAGAAAGATAGGGAATTTTTGGGAGAGGGGCGGGCGTAGGGGAGAAGAAGAGGAGAAGAGAGAGCGGGAGGGGAAGAGGCGGCGGCTCCGAGTGAAATGATGATGGAAGACCTTCCTGTGTCTTTGGTGTTTTAGGGGAGGGGGGCCGTTTTCGAAATTGGCCCATCCATTTATCTTGCGATCAACCGAACCGTCCCCGACGATCGCACCCATATCGCGATTGCACCAGGCTGCGGTGGCGGGTCCCACGTGAGCCCCGCTGTTTAACCGGCTTAACCACGCCGATGGTGCAACACGTGGGAGTAAGCAGCAAAAACTGGGTTCGGATGTGCGTAGGCTTTCCTTCGCTTTGCACAAGGTTTTGTGTGTGGCCATGCTACCCGTTCGGGGTGCACTCCCTCAATCACCCCTGGAACCTTTCCGGGGTGATGTAGTCTCCCAGGGTGGGACGCTGACGAGTCGTTTTCTGCCACATGGAGTTGCCCCACACGAGACAACACTTCCATTGTGGGGCCCACACGAGTGGGGCTGCGGGAGCTGGAGTCGCGTCACCCCTGAAGCATTACGTTGCACCATAAGAAGTCATACGCATCTCGGCTCTTTAATATGCCACCCAAATCATATCAATCTTGCTGTGCTAAGCCTGTTTGATGTTTCTTGAATGTCTGATACCATTTGCAATAGTATTAATAACGTTATCCGAGATTTTATGTAGGGAAAGGGGGATAATTCTAGTGGCTTACAACAGGTCATTCATGCGAAATAGAACAATTTTCCTTGTGGAGTGTTCATGCGAAATGAAATCATGTTCTATCAGACTAAAAAGACACTATCCAATATTGCTACTGAGGAATGACAGTCTGTGAAGAGAAGCCCTTCAGGCAGGCGGTGAGGGACGGCCTCATATTTACATGGGTTAGAGACGCATGCTCGCAAAACTGGCAGCATCATCATCAGCAGCAGCAGCCCGAGACTAAGCAGATGAGAGTGGTGGCTAAGAAGGGGAAACGAAATCTTCCGCTCATCGCATCGAGATGAGAGTGCGCTTGGCCCGTTTCGCAGGCGGCATCGGCGACCTCTTCAGGTTCTCCGTCACAAGCCTCTCCATCTCACCGATATAAATCTCCAAGTTCTTCTCGTATTCGGTTGGTTGATCGGGTGGATCCTCCCTAGGAGATGAGGCGTTGGAAGACGAACATATCTGGGGTGGTTGCTCCGTTGCAGAAACGGAGGAACTGCCGGCAGCTGCAGGGATGGAAGAGGAATCGAGGAGACCCTTCTCAACTGCTGCTGGTTCAGGGTCGGAGGTCCTTTGCCGGGCCGTAGCAGCAGCCCTTACACGCATCCTTCTCCGCTCCAAAGCATTGACGATGACGGTGATATCGCGGAGAGGCGTACGAGGATACCACTCGGGCAGAGGACTCTTCCTCGTCCGGCCACGGCGTCGCGCTGCCCGCGACGGGGTGACGTTCTCCTTGTCGTCGGTGGCGAACACCACACTCTGGACACGCGTTGATCTCGATCCCGTCCTCGACGCTAGGTAAGCAGCCCTCCGGATCCAGAACCCCAGGTTGGTGGCACTTCCCGTGGTCTCCCTGCCCCGATTCACCCCCTGCCTCGTCTCGGCCATTCTTTCCACCACTGCGACCGCACACAGATTCCGCCATTAAAACCAAAGAATTAGAGGAGAAGATCACGTGTAATGGCTTTCACTCATTGAAACCCCAACTCTTACCGAATTAGCTTCCGATTCTTCTCTATTTCTTTCTTCTTTCCTGCCGATCACAGATAACACTCAAGATCCTTTTCTTCTCTTGGTCCCCTTCAAGTCCCAAACAAGGAGAAAAGCCTGAGACAAACTAACGAACAAAGAGCAGCTTGCTAAGTATTATTTCTTACCAAAAAAGGCTTCAGATTCTCCTCCTTTTACTCCAAACTCCCAACTCAACACAAAAGAGACCAAATCAGACCCAGGAAAGGCAAGAGAGATGGAAGGAAAAGCATTCAAGAAAACTGCTTCAGATCTCTCGCTTCCTCTTCCTCTACCCCTTCCCCGATCTCCTCTTCTTCGTCGTCCGAGATGGTGAGCGAGATAAGATCCGGAACTGGTGGCGTCGAGATCGGCGATTGGTCAGCGGCTGGGTAAGTAAGAACAGACGGGTTCGATATATGTGGCGGACTCCAAACTACGGCTGAAATGTTGTGCGGGGTGGGTTACGATCACCGCGCGGTCGAGTTCCGCCCCCATTTCAAAATTTCAAAATTAGGGAATGGGCGGTGACCAGATTTTGTCGGGTGGCAGACGCGCCGAAGTACAACTTATTCAAGTTTACTAAAGATGCTACAGGAAAACAGCCGACTAATCCATGCCATTGACCTAATTACTCTATTTTATTCTCAAAGAAAGATAACAAGAGAGAGTAATTCTTGGGTTTTACTGAACTAATTACGTATTATTTCTATAATTAGTTATCTTTAATATCTCGATATCTATATTTACAAAGTAAATTATTTAATTTTAATATTATAATAAATTTTTTTTTAATTTTTAATCTTACATAAGAATTTTAATATTTTATTTTCATAAATATAAAATATAAAGACTCAATATAACTTTTAAATAATATAAAAATAAGATACTAAAGATAACTAATTACAAAGATAATATATAATTAGTTCGATTTTACATGTCTCTCAATGATCAGCATCAATATAATAACAAAGGATTATCCTATAAAATATTCTAAAATATCGAATGATTTATTATCTCAGTATTGATATCAAGATAGTATGTCATAGCTTAATTTCATTATTTTTTTGGTTCATCAACATCAGAACATTATTGTGTCATTAATAATGGATTTTAATCTCTTGATCAACAAATAATGTTATTATAGAGAACACAAATAAATGAGCTTTAGCCACGAAAGAATTGTAGATTTAGTACTGCATGCGATTCACATATCAACTCCAAGCAATCCCATCCGACCTCTCTTTCGAAACCACGTAGAAAGAAAGAAGGCAGACCGGAGCTGATGACACTCACAGAAGAAACAAAGCACAAATGCAACGTGAAATGGATCGCAAGCAACGATGGCTGCCCTTCCGTCCTCCTCCCTGTGGGGTCACTGCAAGTAGAAGGCGAAGAAGGAGAGGAGGGAGGCCCCGATGGCGGCGCCGACGGCGGGGGTGGCCGCGAAGGACGAGCTGGTGGGGGAAGGAGCCGGGGCGTCGGCCGCAAGGGCGCCGGCGGCAGAGGCGGCCACGACGAGGACGGCGCAGGCGATCTTTCTCATCTCCATTGCTGGTGGCGAGAAAGAGAGGCTTATTCTGATCTCGTGGCAGCTGCTGCTCCTTCTTCTTGGTGTCGTTCACATGCCTGAGGAGGGATTTATAGGGTGCGGGAATGGCTGGGATGGATGGGCAGTCGGAGAGGCTGGAAGAAGGTTTTGTGGCCTTCCCGTTGTTTAAGGGCAGCATGCGGTGGATATGTGCTGTAAGGTAGGGTTGGTCTTCTCCTTTTTACGTGCAGGCATGTGCATGAGAACCGGACACTCTGCAACAGCCAAGAAGGCTTCTTTCTTTTAAGACTGCTTTCATTTGACACCCTCTTAGGGAATGATTTCTGCCATTGGAAGCTTTTTTTGGAAGCAAAAATAGTCTCTGGTGCACCTCAACAAAGATGACAAGTACTTCTATATTACTCTTATGATCATCATTAGTAAAAACATCTTTATGTAGGAACAATTTATTTAGTTTGTTAATAATCCTTAGCTGGTAGGTGTGCAAGCAAGGAAAATAAAACCTTAGCTGGAAGAACACCAACAGATCATTGTGTTTATCACCAACCTGATCACAAGTCACATGCAATTATGATTGATGGTCACACTAAAAGACATTAATCTTGGTAGAATAATTATGAGTGATGCTGCCTGGTTTTCATGTGTAGGAAGGTGGATAAGCTCAAGCAGAGGTTGAGGAACAAAAGAATCAAGTTGTTCTCTATAAATGATTGAGAAAAGAAATGCACCCTCCTATTATTATGAACTCAACAAAAGATCAGTTCAACTATGAACTGAACCAAAGTCGAACCTTAGGTTTGATTGACCGAAACCAAGTCACATCGAAAGAGTTCGATTAGACCCAAACTCGCTCGATCGTGTATGATCACATCATCGAAGATAGTGATAGATTCTGTCTGCCCTCGTCTTCTTCTTCTTCTTCTTCTTCAGATACCTGCAGGGTATACGTGGACGGATGTCCTGTGCGAGGGGTCGTGTGTGGCTTTCAGGCTGCTCGTTATCCATTCGCTCACGTACGCACGAACGCATCATTTTGATCTCTGTCTACTTCTTCCTCTTCTTTTTTTCTCAGTGAAGAACAAAGATTCGAAGCTGTGGCTGTCCTCCTTCAAATGATGCCCACCGCAGGAATCCTCTTATCCATCATCTCCTACGCATCCCCCCTCGCCCTTCCTCGTCTTCACATACAAACCGCTGCTTCTTCTCCTGGCCACTCCTCCTCCTCCTCCTCCTCCGGCGCTTGAAGCAGTAGTAGAAGGGTACATCCCTCTCTCTCTCTC